CTGGGGGAAATGTGGGTCACTCACAGAACACACACACACGGAGAACCCCTCCCACGTTCCCTTTCCTGCTCTCTGGCTCTGTAAGAGTTCGCTCCATGCTGGGATGTTACCCTGTGTTTCGTGTGTGTGGTATCTGCAGGTTCAGACTGGGAGGGGAGTCGGTGCTCCCGGGCCGCCTTCCCTCCCTCTCTCTGCAGCAATGGCAGGGTCAGTGGTGGGAGCAGGGGCTCATGGTCTGGGCACTGTTCGGAATCTCTCCTTCTTGCAGGTTGTATGTCCATTCTTCAGTCGGACTGTGCTGGCTCCATCCTGCACCATGGCCTAGGGCTTGTGTCCTGCTGTCTCCAGGTAGCCTGTCAGTTTCGAAAGTTACATAAAGTCCGTGATTGGTCAGAGTGGGTCAGTGACTTAGCCAGATGTTGAAGGGATTTGTACTTCGTGGAAAGGCAAGAGCTGTCAATCTGATGCCTGCCGTTTCATGGATGTGTCAGCTTTTCCTAAATTGCTCTCTGTCTTCCTGCACTTCTCCCACTGCTCTGCTTCTCCCGCTCCAGGGCTTGCTCTTGTGCAGTGAGGAAGCACAGGATGAGGTGAATGCCAAGGTCGGCATGTGTTTGTTTAGGGGACTGTGTGTGCTCATTTGTGTGCCTGAGTTGTTAAGGTACTGCACAGAACAGCTGTCTGTATTCTTCAAAAACAAGATTCCGTGGGAGCCCTGAGCCCTTACGCTGGAGGACATGTTCAACCTTTCTGGTTCCTCCAGCATTTGCTTCTGTGGGGCTGCAGGATCCTCTGTCCGCTCCAACTGCACGCAGGGTGTTTGCCTAGAGGGCTGCGCGGCACAGCTCCTCCATGAACCCGGAGGATGCATGCTACTTAGAGCGCAGGATTGCAAGTTCCTCCTGCCGACTCTGAGCACTCAGGTCTCTGGGATTGGTTTTCCTAAGGCTGGAGCCATGCCATGTGCTCCCCTCATCTCTGTAGTCGCAGAAGATGCGTTTTAGGGCTGCTTGACTACTAAGCTCCAGAAGGTGGTACACTGGGCCACACCTGCCTCTGTCATGGTCACAGGTTGACACTGAACTTATGCCTTCCTTCTAGAGTCTCAAAGAGCTGATGTAAAATTAGAAGTTGCCAGGGAAGCACAAGAAGGTGGAACTAAGCTATGATCAGGGAAAGAGATTATAAACAGATGCAGAGACGCACAGAGATGGGTGCTATGGCGCATCCCATCCCAACCCTAACATCCCCACTCAGATCCAGCTCCCTATCCACACACACGCAGGGCCACAGACGGTGGCCCGAGAACTGGGCCTCAGCCGTCCATGTGAGAGACGGCGATGGAACTCCTGGCTTCACCCTGCTCCAACCCTGGCTCTTGTGGTCATGTGAGGAGTAAACCAGCAGATGGAAGATTGGTTGATCTTTTTCTCTCTCTGATGCTTTGCTTTTCAACTGAATTTTTAGAATAACAGATAAACATTTAAAAGCACAACACCCTGTATTTTCAGCATGTTCTCCGTGGGACAAAGATTCCAGTGTTCGTGTATTTCTGCTGCTTTTACTTAGCTGCATTGTGATGGATATTTTGATTTACAAAAGTGGAAATCAGATTACTTCAGTTACATCCTTACTCAAAGGAGAGGAACTGGCATGTAGCAGGCACTCAACAAAGTAGAAAAAGAAATTAATGTAATTTTTTAGACATTCAAATATATACACACGCAAGTGCGATCAGTTTTGGAAGTGACAGGTTAAGCATTAAAACAGCCTGCTGAAACATAAGTAGCTTGTAATTGAGTAGTGGGCAGATGGACCTGGCTTTTGTCCCTAGATCTTTGGATTGGCATGAGGTGTGTGTCCTCACCCTCATCCATGGACCTGTGGTTCTGTGGGAAAGCTTCGCACTTCTCTCTGTATAATCATTATGTCCTTCCTTAGTAGTACCTTCTATGTCAGTGTTCATCCACTGGGAAGCAACACCCACCACATTCCTGCAACTGGCAGAGCTGCTGCCCTGCCCGTCTTCCACAAGGCTGCCTGGCCAAGAACCCTTGAGAGTCTCTGAGGGGGACCCGCCAGATCCATCCTTCCACCTGGCCACCTGCCGCCAGCACCTTCACTGCCCATTTGTCTGATGAGTGGAATGGCTGCCTTGGCCTCTGCCTGAGCTGCTCGCTCTGGACCCACTGCAGACTTTGGCTTTCTTACGTGTGTCTTTGTTCAGCCACAGAATTGAGGTGTCTGATTGGCTGGTTACCCTGTGGCTTTGGAGTGGAGCAGGCCGTCACTAAGTAATCAGGGATGGGAACCTTTGTGGGAAAGCTTGATTAAATGGTTAAGCTGTACGTTATGACTTGTAAGTGAAGTAGTCCATGTGTGGACACCTTGGGATGGTCCAGGGAAGGCATGGGGCTTACCAGTTTGCACGTGAGAGGGCAGTCAATTTCTGGGCTCACTCCCAACTCCGGCTTCTTGCTAAGGAAGACTGGAGGGAGGCAGTGGTGATGCTTAGGACATGGGGGCCCTCAGGACTGAGTTCTCAGCTCCTGGCTTTGGCGTGGACAGCCCAAGCCTCTCTGAGCATCTGACAAGTGAACCCTGTGATGTGAGGCAGGCTGAAGCCTCTGGTCGGGCACCCTTAGCCCCAGATGCCCCTTACCCAAAGGGATTCACTGACCAGGGAAGTGGCACAGCTAGCCTGGCAGATCCTCTTTATTCAATTCAGGAAGTTGTTGGCTTCTCCAGTGGAGAAGGTCCTGTTGGCCAGTACTGTCCAGAGAGGGTTGTTGAGGGTGCTCAGGTCTGGGAAATAAAGCAACCATCACTTCTGTGTAACCCCCAGATGAACTGAAGCCACCTGCCATCGCAAAGTCCCTAAAGACAGCATCACCAACCAGAGGAAGGTCATGAACAGACTGACCAACAGGAACTTGGACATGAACTGAGCACCTATAAGATCCTCACCTCCCATCCCGCTTCAGTCTGTAAGACCCTCAGCCCCTGGGGAGCTGTCAGGAAGCCTCTGTTTCCTCCCATTGCTCCACAACCTGATGTGCATGGCTGGCCTATCATCTCTCCAGCAGACCTTGTCTGGGTTGGACGACAAAGCCTCGGCTTGGGTGTGCTCTGTGAGATGGGAACTGGCCTCTGGCTTTCTGCTTCTCAAATACTTTTTTGGAAGATAAGTTTATTTTGATGCAAAGAACTGTTTGGAAACCATATATTCATGGGGTCTTCAGTGATTGTTTTTTTCATAAAACACATTTCATGTGAATATTTTGAACCCACTGAAGTTCCTTGCAGTTGATGACATCAGAAGTGTTTGTAGCAGGACAAACTTCTCTCGTGACTGTCTTTGGAAGTCAGGCCCTCGGGTGTAGATTGTAAGCATGGCAGGTGGATCAGTGGCAGAGGTGTGTAGTTCCCATCCACTTCAGTTCTCCGTGTGCAGTACCAGGGTTCAAATGGATACGCCTCTGGTTTTGTTTTCCCGCCTGCTTGGAAATGAACGAGTAGATTGTATTTTAATTATTAAAAAGCAAAGCCTTGTAGCAAGATAGTGCCTGTCAGCTGGGCTCAATTCACTCTTGCTTTACTGTCCCACCCTGTGGCTCCGCTCCCTGAGGGGATTGCTTGTGAGCAGATCTGAGACACACTGACCTCTCACTAGCAAGTGCCTTAATCTACAGAACGTATGCACTTTTAAACATCATCACCAGACCCAAACTTACAAAGGCAACTCTAACGTGGTACTGAGCAGGCCGTTTTGGGATATTCTGCACTAGGTGGCATACAGCAACGTAACTATGCTAGACACAATGTACCCCACCTAGAAAGCTGAGTGTTAACGGGCTTGGGCAAACTTGGGCCGGTGCCAGGGGCCCTTGGCAGTGCTCTGATGCTCTGAAATGCCACGTGATGCTGTGCGTCTTGTGGCTTTCTTGTCCTCTGCGCACACATCAGGGAAGTGCCTCTTCATGTCTTACATTCCTTTTCTAATCACATTTTTGTTATGGTGCATTTTGAATATTCTTTCTATATCCTTCACCGGGTGATGCGTTTTCTGAAGTATTCCTTCAGGTTAACCCTTGGTTCACATCTTTCTAGCAACCTTGTCACATAGCAAGTTTTTAATCTTGTCGAACTCTGGTTTCCTGCCGTTACCCTTTTGGGGATTAGTCTTCATTCTGAGAAGTCCTGGCTAAAATCTGACATGTAGGAGGTAGATCTTGTGTTAGCTCCTGCAAGTCTCATAGCTGCGTTCCAGCTGAGGTTGTTACTTGTTGCGGAAGGCGCAAGGCTAGGTTGGAGCTCCCTCTCTCGCATGTGGCAAACCCTCAGGTGACGATTCTCCATTTGGGTTCAGCCTCCTTTACATCTTGGCAGTCAGGAGGCTGTTCTGCATGGTTAATTTTGATGTTCTATTCCGTTGGTCTGTGTTTCTGTCCCCTGAGACCCTAGACTCCATCACTGTAGCAATGGAGTGAGTCTTAAAGTTGGGTAGATTTATACTTTTTAAAGAAACTTTTGCTTATTTGTATTCATTTAAAAGGCAGCACAAGAGAGTGAGAATGAGAAAGAGAAATAATATGATTAGGCTTATTCAAATAGCCACAACCCCTGCGGCTGGGCCAGAGTATAGCTAAGAGTCCAGAACTCAGTGTGGTCCCTGGGTAGGGTAGCAGGGACCACGCTTCCTGAGCCACCACCAGCTGCTTCCAGGATGCTCCTGCACGGAGCAGGGATTCAGCCCCCAATTTATTTCTTTCCTTTTTTTTTTTTTAAAAAAAAAAAGATTTATTTTTATTGGAAAAGCATATATAGATATAGATATGTCTCAGAACTTTCACTTAAACAGTTATGAGAACCCCAAAGACTTGCATGCAAATCTTATCCTGTATTAGAAACTGAGACACTTAAGATGTTGATAGGAACAAACTCACTGTGTGTGAAACTAAAATAATGCCCTGTAAACAACCTGTTTTTCAAACTCCCAGGGGCAGCGTCTGGTCCCAGGCTGACAGCTCAGTGTCCCCAGCCTCTCCTGCGTTGTCCCCAGCCACATCCCACGGCACAGGCACCTGGTAAGCCCCACTACATGCCCACAGAAGAGTGAGGACAATAGGTCACGTGTTGGCCTTTGTGCCCCGACAGCACCCTCTGGGATCCACTGGCTCTAGGCTAGTGGCTGACGGGCGCTTGCCAAATGGCAGCTTGCCTGAGGCTCGTCCATCCAAGCCCCATGCAAGACGAGGGGAGCCACAGGGCCGGGAGCCAGCTTACCATAGGTGTGGGAGATGCCGCAGTCTTCCACTTGCTAGGTCACTTCCTGAATGGCCATGCCAGCCAGGACGGTGCCAGACCAGAGCCAGGAGTTCCCTCCGGGTGGCAGGGACTCAAGCACTGGGGCCATCGTAGCCTGCCTTCCCAGGCACCTGAGCAGCCAGGTCTGCAGCTGGCACTCTGATGTGACGCCAGCATCATAGGCAGTGGATTTGGGCACTGCAGCATGAGGCCAACCCCCAAGCAGTGACTGCTAGGCGACAAGAAACGGTGGGCGACATTTTCCCTGCAGACCTGGTTTATTGAGTACAAGACCTCTTCCTGTCTGTGGTCTTGAGTTCCTGCTGGTCTCTGCACTCAGTGCCCCATGTGGGGCTTGAATCCAGGTGAGAATACCAGCAGCGAGGGATTGAAGGTCACAGGTCAACAGCCCCAGCCACCAGCTCCTGTCCCTGAAACCACCCAGACACACACAGAACAGCCCCTGGGACTGTTTGTAAGAACAAAATTTATTACAATGCTTATAATTATAAAAGAACATTATAATGCACAGAAATTAACCAACATTAATTACAGACTTGCCTTATGCCACAGTGTGTGAAAAGCGTCAGGGAGTTTCCGACCTGCATAGATTTGGGATCCCTGCACATGTTACCGCAGGGACACAAGCCAACGATGTGAGAGCAGGGTTCCGGGCACAGCTCAGCCTGACTCCCCTGCCACGCTCTGACCGTTAGAGGTCCCTGTGACTCAGGACAGGAAGATTCCTGTGACAGACGTCTTACACGATGGTTTTATTTAGAAGACAAAACAACAGGGAGGTTTCTTTGAAAACCCCTGGGGAACCTGGTCTAAGGTTACAGGGCCACTCAGGCTGGACGGTGACAGTGCCCAAGGCTTCCCCGGGCAGGTGCAAAGCTGGGCTCCACATGCCCTACCCTCCCAGTTCTGGAAGCCGGGAGGTGTGGGGCTCTGCTCAGCTTCTAGGCAGTTTGCTAAGCCGTGGGGGGCGTTCCCTCCCTCCCACAGCTGCACTACTGCGGCAGCCCAGAGGGGAGGTAAGAGCCTTTGCTTGCCCAGGTTGAGCTTAGCAGGCAGAACCCTGGGATTCCAAGCAGAGAGGTAGCGAGAGGGGAGGCACCTTGCTCGAGGAACAGGGGCTGGAGCTTGTGCAGGTGCACCCGCATGGCTGGCCTCGATCCCGTGACCATCTCACTGTTGGGATCAGTAGGGGCTGAGGATGATCCCAACACCCAGAAAACCGATGGGGACTTGGCTGTCCGGTCGCATGGAGCCTCCGATGGACACTTCACTCACCCTCCTCCCCACCTATTCCAGCGTGCGCATCGGGCGGGAGGATTCCTTGGACACCAGGGCCAGAGCCATGGCCTACAGGAGGATCCTGCTAAGCACCGTCATGGTGCAGACCCCACCCCACTCTGGGAGAGCCAGTAGGGACCCAGCCCTCCCAGACAGCATGGGCCATGCTGGGAGGGTGGCCCAGCCCTTCTCCAACTGGAGGCAGCAGGCACTGTGGAGATCCAGGCTGTCTGTGCTGTGCTGGCATGGTGCATGTCAGCCCAGAGGTCGGGGAAGCAGAGACTGGGTTGTGCAAGGCGGTGCCCCTCCTCAGGCTGCTAAGTCAAGGTTGGTGTCAAAAGGGTGGTGCTCAAGTAAGGCCCGTGGTGGGGATCTGGAGATGGGCATGTGTTTCCCAAGCTGTGATGATGATGAAAATGAGAGTGTCACTAATGCAGATTTTCTCTGCCTTGGGAGGAAGTCCACTGATGATCCAGGCTGGCCTGAGCCATATCCTGTGAGGCTGTTCCTCGGCCAACTTCCGTCATGTTCCTCCCGTGCGACAGCGCTGGGGGAGCCTGCACCTAACATGCCGGCAGGCAGAGGTGGTGCTGCTGTTGGCACAGGGAAGCTTCAAGCCAGCTCACAGGGGTGCCTGCTTGCCTCGCAATGGACAAAAATGAGGCGTGGGGTCCCCATGTCCTCCCACCAGCCACACAGCAGGGTGCACACCCCGAGTGCTGTGCTGGCTCTTGGCGATCACAGGGAGTAGGTTGGGTCCCTGACAATGACGCAGTGGCAGGTGACACCGGAACGGGTGGAGAATGAGAAGCACCTGGAGGCGAAGGCGCTCGCAGCTGGAGAGCCCAGGGGGATGGATGGGGGACAGGAGAAAGGGTCGCCAGAATCCCAAGATGCCCGCGCAGGGGACACTGGGCTCTCCAGGTGGGCAGCTTTCTGTCCCTTGTGGCTGCTGCCTGGCTGGCGGAAGACACGTGTGGAGATGGCGGGGTGATTGCACTTGACATTGTCATGGGTGATTGGCTGTCTATTCTGACAGAACTGATTTCTCAAAGTCCCTCTAGGGTTGCGGGGTTCTCACTCCACCTTGGGGTGTCGGCTGGGATCCACAGCTTCCACCACCTTCTCTGCGATGGCCCCCATGGACCTGGTCATGTCCTGCAGGTGGCTCTCGTGCAGCAGCTTCTGGGTCAGGTACTTCTCCCTCTTGATCTTGCTCTTGGTGGTTTTGGACACGTCTGGGATTGCGTAGGAAATGAAGAACTTGACCGAGTAGATGATGTGCTGGAGGGGAGGAGAGAGCCGTCAGGCGCTGGGTGGGCAGGTGGCACAGCAGCCCGTGGCTCCGCTAGCCCAGGGGAACACAAGAGGCACACCGGCACCCCACGGCAGGCCCCAAGAAGTGCAAAGGCGAGACACATTTACTTGGGAAATTTCAAGTTTTTGACCAAAGTAAATGTTTTTAAAAATATTTAACTTTTATACGTGTTTAACTATTTGTTCACTTTGTTTTATTTGAAAGGGAGAGACACAAAGAGAAGAAAGGAATGGAGAGCAAGCGGTCTTCCATTGCACGGGCACCTGACAGCTGGGGCTGCAGCCAAGGGCCAGGGGCTCCACCCTGCTCACCCAGGAGCCTGCAGGTATCAACGTTTGATCATCCCCTGCTGTCTCCCCGGGGGTGTCCAGCACCAAGGGCTGGATCAGGAGAGGTGGCAGAACTCGGCCCCAGACCCTAGGTCTGGACACGGAGCTGCCTGGGGTGGCTTGTGAGCCTCTGTGCCCAGTGCCTGCCTGGATCGGGGGAGGTGGCAGAACTCGGCCCCAGACCCTAGGTCTGGACACGGAGCTGCCTGGGGTGGCTTGTGAGCCTCTGTGCCCAGTGCCTGCTTGGAACTTCTCACCCCATCTATGCGGAGGTTTGGAGTTTCCCGGATAAGGATGTGGTGGAGCTAGTGAGGAAAGGGGCAATGCGGAGAGGCAGTGGTGCGGGGTCAGAGTACACCAGGCCTTGTGGCTACTGAAAGGGTTGTAGCTGGGGCAGAGGACAGAAACCCCGGGAGAAGTGGTGCTGGCTGGGCCAGTGCAAGCAGCAGGGCTGGGAAGAAGGCTGCAGCCAACAGCCCTGCTGGCAGGTGAATGAGGAGGCCTCCCTGGACACTGGCTGAGCATGGGGAGAAGGCAGGTGGGGACAGTTAAGGCCAGCCGGAACTCACTGGCTGGTGGTGGTGGCGGTGTGGGGTACGGTACGGGGCTCAGGTAGCAGGTGTCTCCCCGGGGGAGGGGCAGAGAGGGGACAGCCACAGACAAGGCCTTGGAGCCTTCTGGAGGGGTCCTGAATGACAAGGACCCCCAGGAGGGCTGCTTAATGTCAGACATAGAAATACCTTAGCCTACACGGAGTTCTGGTCCCAACTTTTACCTGCACCTGGGAAAGCAGCAATGGATGACTAGAGGACCAGGAATGAGCTTGGGGTCCTGGGCTCTGCCCTGGTGGCTGTGACACCTGGCGTGGGCCAGTACATGGAGCCTCCCTGTGTCTGCATTTCAAGTACGTGAAAAGTCATAAAAATATTCCAGGAAGTTGAGGCCACCACTTAATTTTGAAAAAGCCTGTCGCAGCCCAGCACGCTGCCCAGGGCCCCATGTCCTGGTGCCTGCCACCTGCCCTGCCCCTGCTTGAGCGGGGGATGGATTTCCTCTGGGTATGGACAGCACCGTAGGCGTTTCCAGGTCAGGCAGGAGGAACACGCTGTCATGTCACTGTCTGCTAGCACCCAGGAAGACACACCACCTGAGCACGCCTGGGCAGGACTGCCGCCCCCGGGCCCTCCTCGTACCTCCATGACGATGACGAAGGCCAGCTTGGCTGCGATCACGTGCCAGTAGTAGATGTTGTGTTTGTACTCCTGGGGATGCCCGGGCGGGTACCGGAAGTCACGATACCTGTGTGAGGAGACAGACCCTCTGGTCAGAGAACCCACACGTGGCTCAGTGCTCTCCCAATCCCAGAGCCTTGGAGGTTGGACACCTCCCCGCACTGGGGAGGGACACCCACGCGGGCTGCCTCCCTCAGCTGAGTGGGTGGAGCTGCATGGATGTCAGTCAGGGCCTCTCCTTCCCCCAGGACGCACGCCCTGCGGGGCAGATGTGGCTTAGCTTGCGGAGCAAGCTCCACGCTTCTCCCATCCAGGCGGCTCTAACTTGACTCCTAAAACAGTGTCGGAGTCCCTTCTCTGTATCAGCTTGTGACTTCTGGCTGTTTGACAAAGGCCCTTCTGTGATGAGGAACTAGCTCAGCCAGCTTTCAGTTTGCATTTCCTGATTATTGAGTGGTTTTTCTGGATACATTTTGGCCTTTTCACTTCTTAAGAAATGTCTATTTGGGTCATTTGCTCAGTTACATTTTTCCCCCATTGAATTGTTTGCATTCCTTATGTATTCAGGAACGTAATCCCTTGTCACGTGACTCTCGGCTCTGCTCCCTTCCCCATGCAGGTGCCCTGGAGTCTGGCCAGTTTTTGTTGCTGGTGATTCTGGGGTCACATCTGAAACCTGCCGGGCTGCTGCTGAGTTGTTTCCAAGTCCCAGGTTTACTGAGTCTGATCCATTTTGAGCTGACTTTTGTCACACAGTAGGTCCTCAGTTGTCCCGGGTCTGTCTCCTTTCTCCAATGGGCACACGTTGCCTTGTTCCACCCCACTGGTCTCCATGTCTGTTTTTTGGCTGTTACAGCTTTGCAGTATAGTTTGAAGTCATGCACTGTGATGCCTCTAGTTTTTGTTTTGTTTTGCTTTGAAATCAGAATTGCGTTTCCAGCCTTTCTCTCTCCCGTGGCTGAGGTCCAGGACGACACCGAGTACCAGCAGTCACAGTGGACACTGTCTTGTTCCTGATCCCCGACAGCCTTGCTTTCTCCTGAATGTGGTGCAGCCAGTGGGTTCCTGACACACACCACGGCAGCCTGGACTGTGCCCATGCCTGGCCTGGCTCTGCTGCAAGGCCACATGGAGGTCATTCGGCGTGCCGAGCTGCTGGCAGACCTGGCTCATCAAGGTGCAGAGCCCTGCACAGAGCTGGCTTCCACCACTCTGTAGTTGGTTATGGCATTAGAGCAGTGCTGGCCTCGAGGAGTGTTCTTGCAAGGGTTCCCTGCCTTTTAGTCCTTCAGAATAGTCTGCCAAGATCTGGCGTTAGGCCTTAGAGACCATGGGTCACATTCCGCGGTGAAGCCTCCGCTTGCGGGACACATCACGGGCTCAGTCCTGCCGCCTGCCGACGGGCCGGGGACTCTCCTGGTCCAGAAGCTCAGCCGTTTCTTCCCGTGTCTGAGGGTCCCTCTTGACCTGCATTTCAGGGTGTCAGGATGTTCTGGGTAATCCTTCCTTTTCCTCATTTCAGCCTTTCTTTCCTGCCTGGCTTCGTCTAGCTAAATACATTTTATCTTTTTCATTGCTCCTTTTCATATTTTTAGGCTATTTTTCCCTCTGAGGAACTTACTGCTACATGCTGCCCTCTTTGTACTCAATCCCACAGATTCAGGCGCACTGTATTCTGTTTTTACTTCAAACATTTTTAAATTTCCCTTTTGACTTCTTCGCCTGTCCAGCGTACTCAGCCTGCTCTGTTCGCAGTCTGAGGTTTGTGCTGTCAGCCTCTAGCCTTTTGCCACTGACGGAAGACATAGAATAGAGAGTTTGTTTGTTTTTCTGGACGTTTTTAGAGGCCTATCACTATGATGTACCTGAGAGAATGTTCTATGTGCTAATGAGAAGAAAAGCTGGGTAAAATGTCACGTCTTCACGTGACAGGGCTGTCCTCTTGTTCCTCGGTGTCTTCAGGCTGCGTGCGGGGACAGCCTGGCCCTCCCCAGGCCTCTGCTCACCAGCTGCAACCGTCGCCTTCTGAACAGGACTGAGAATTCTAACCCTGGGCTCTGTTAACTTTCATTTCTTATCCCTGAGAACAAAGCAACTGGTCAAGTGACCTTACTTAAGTGACGCAAACGGAAGCCCTGCGAGGAACAGCGGGACTTGCCTGCACGTGGTGTAGTTCCCGAGCCCCGTGTACGGGTTTCCCTTGCTTCTGTTTTTGAAGTCAGCGATGTTGAAGTAGGACAGGGTGTTGTTGATGTAACCCTCCATGGTGTAGTCGGTGTGGTTCCCATACGGCGGGACGGAGAACGACCAGTAATACACCAGGCGGGGAATCATGTCCGACGTGAAAGCGATGATCATGGCCTGTGGGGGACAAGAAGGAGGCGTGGGGCAGGGCTGCCGGGCAGAGAGGAAGGGTGCGGGGGCAGGGCTGCCGGGCAGAGAGGAAGGGTGCGGGGGCAGGGCTGCTGGGCAGAGAGGAGGGGTGTGGGGCAGGGCTGCCGGGCAGAGAGGAGGGGCGTGGGGCAGGGCTGCCGGGCAGAGAGGAAGGGTGCGGGGGCAGGGCTGCCGGGCAGAGAGGAAGGGGTGTGGGGCCAGAGCTGCAGGGACAGAAGAAGACAGGACAGAGCTGCTGGGACAGAACCAGGGTGCAGGGGCAGGGCTGCTGGGCAGAGAGGAGGGGTGCAGGGGCAGGGCTGCTGGGCAGAGAGGAGGGGTGTGGGGCAGGGCTGCCGGGCAGAGAGGAGGGGTGTGGGGCAGGGCTGCCGGGCAGGGAGGAGGGGGTGCAGGGGCAGGGCTGCCAGGCAGAGAGGAAGGGGTGTGGGGCCAGAACTGCAGGGACAGAAGACAGGGCAGAGCTGCTGGGACAGAACCAGGGGGTGTGGGGCCAGGGCTGCCGGGCAGAGAGGAGGGGTGCAGGAGTAGGGCTGCCGGGCAGAGAGGAAGGGGTGCAGGGGCAGGGCTGCCAGGCAGAGCGAGGCAGGGGTGTGGGGCCAGAACTGCAGGGACAGAAGACAGGGCAGAGCTGCTGGGACAGAACCAGGGGCATGGGGCAGGGCTGCCGGGCAGAGCGAGGAGGGGTGCAGGGGCAGAGCTGGTGAGGCCAGAGCTGCCATATCACCAAGCCCGTTCTAGAAGCCTCCATTGCTCTGTGAGACGTGATTTGCAGTGGAGCGGGTTCTCCTTCCGGTCTAAGGACACTGGAGTGTCTGAAGCCAGCTAACCAGTTAATGCTGCTTGACTCAAACTGCACAGGAGTTAGACGTTCACAGTCACAGTGAAATCAACAATAAGGGAAAAAAATGGCTCTAGGTAATTGTGGAGTAACCAACTGATACAAAACTGATTTCTACTACTTGCTATTTATAAAAACAGAATTGTAAACTGAATTTTTATCTGAATTTAATGAGCGTCAGATTCAGACGCTGCCTCCTGCACTAGCTGACCCTGCCTGGACAAGCCCACAAGGGCCTGCTGCCCAGTCCTGGGGACCCACATGGGCTGTGGCTCTACCAAAGCAAGCAGCTTTCAAAATGTGCAAGATGTTCCCTCAAACAGCTCCCGAGTGGGTCGGTCCTGTCGGGTCGAGGGTCTGCAGGATTGCGAAGCAGGCTTCAGGCATCCAGTGCGTAAGACTGCCTTGAGGGTAGGAGGAGAACCTGGAACCCAACGCTCTGCGTGGATGGAGCCCGCGAGCCCCTCACTTCTGGAGCGGAAGGGCAGCCACGTCCAGGGTGTGGCGAGGACCTGCCTGGACATACGGCTGCCACACGGTGAGGCCACAGAGCAGCACGCAAGAACGGCAAAATCCACCTGGCCAGAACCGCTCCGCCATGCCCTGGACGGGAACCTGTGTGTCTGCACCTGCCCGGGGGTCGTGGGGTGGGACGGGAGGCTGCAGCCTTTCCTGGACTCCAACGGTTAAACGTTCCTCTCTCCACAGCTCGGCGGCTTTGAGACCTGCGGCATGCAGAGGGCCTCCCGTGCGGCGCGAGAGGACTGCTGGCTCCCCTCGCCTGATGCGTTTACTCACGTTGGTCACCACGGCCAGAATGGCTATTCCTTGCATGATGGGCTGCCATGCGCCAATGTCCCGGGTTTTCTCTGGCACTAGGCGCCTGTACTGGGTGGTCAGCTTCCACGCGTCCACTCTGATCTCCAGGATGTTGTTCACCAGGGCCAGCAGGGGGGCCAGTGGGAAAGAGGCCACAAATAAGGTGACGAAGCCAAACTGAATAACTGTCAACGGAACGGACACACACATCACGGTGGGCAGGTGGAAGGGGGCCTGCGGGCATCTGAGACAGCAGGGATGGATTCCCACACAGATGTGGATGCAGGAGGAGGAAGGCCCGGCAGACGGCTCCGGCTCAGTGTGGAGCGGACCGTGCTGGGAGACGCTGCGCACAGGAGACCAGGAAGGGCCGTGGGGGATGTCACACGGGAAGCCAGGTAACAACAGATGCCGGAGACACGGCGAAGCAAGTGGCCATGTCCGGAAGCCGTGACCTGCAGGGCTGTCTGCACTGGCGTGCGTGCCTGAATGGCGTCATCTCCCACGTGTGCTAGCACCTGATCCTCACCGACCACCCCTGTCCTCGCGCCCCAGCCAGCTCCTGCTTTCACTCTGCTCCACCCACTCCACAGATGGGCTCTTGCCCCGGGCTGTTCTGGTTAACTCCTCTAACATTTCAGGGTGCTGTACCCGGGCAGGAGTGCACCTGTGGTCACGGAGCCCCCGAGCCCTGCCGTCTCTTCTAACCTCTGATTCCTCCCGTCTCTCTCTCCACTCCATCCTCTCTCCTGTGTCCGTTTCTCCTCTCTCTGTCCTCCATGCATCTCCTCCCCCCTTCTCACTCACCTCTCTCCAGTCTCTCCTCTTCCTCCTCTCTGCCCTCTCCTTTGTGCTGACACCTCTCTTTCCTGTCTCTCCCTGCTCTTCCCCTTTCTCTCACAGGGTAGCTGCTGCCGTGGTTCCTGAATGTGTCCCCACTCTGCTTGGAACCCTGACCTCACTTGGGGTGATAATCTGGAATAAAAAGCTGGAAAACTCTCTCATGACCCTGGCCCCTCCACTTCTGATCCAGCTCCCTGCTAATGCCCACCCCAGGAGGCACCAGGCAGTGGCTCAAGCGCTTGGGTCCCGCCACCGCGCGTGCACCCGTGGCCCTGCCTCGTTCCCTGTTAGCACTCCTCCATCAGCAGCCTCCTGCTGAGCGAACAGCAGTTTCTGGGTGTGATGCCCCACTGTGCCACAGTCCTACAGCAGCAGCTGTTCCCTGGAGGTGGTGAGACTGGCCACCTCTGGGCTGCCCTGGGAAGGCCCAGGCCCTCGCACAGCAGTTCACAGCTGACTTCGCAGGCCTCCCAGTGATGGCCAGACTCACCAGCCAGAGTCCTCCCCCGATGGCTAAGACCTGCAGATATGCGCAGGGCAGCTCCACATTGACCCCCAAGACTGACATGCCAACCAACGAGTTGGGGTGCTGCTCAGCAATGAGTCGCTGCAGGAAGGCCCTCGGGGAGCCATGGGGCAGATCCTTCTTGGGGTGCTCCCCACCACACCCTCACGGGCTCCTCAGCCTCTCGCCTTGTCAGCCCAGTGTTTCTCTGACAGCATGGCTTCTCTCACCTGAGCCAGCACCCAGCAGCAGTCAGAACCCTGCTCGTCCTCCAGGCCACCGGAAAGCACACCTCGACACCTGCTGACCCTCCCAGCCCCAGGGGAATGGTCCTTAGGCCCCCGAGATGAAACCCCTGTTCAGCAGGAAGCCACCAGAAAGACCACCTGTGTCCCTGCCTCTCTCCCTTCCCTCCAGAAAACCCTCACCTCACCCACTGCATAGTACCCCCAGCAGGCCGGGCAGCCCGAGAGCCTTACCTAACCGCCCCCCGACCCCTTCCCTCCACACCTCCCTGTCTCCTGCGGCCCGCCTGCACGCCTCTCTGCTTTGCCAACAGGGCAGTACATCAGCTGGCCGAGGGCTCCGTCTCTAGTGTTCCCCCTTCCCCCAATGGGCACGAGGCTGGACTGCTCAGACACAAGCAGGGATGGCGCTGGGCTGGCAGGACTGGCCTGCTGCATGGGCATTCATGGTCACTGTCGAGGGCTGGAGCTGCTGCGGCTACCCAGCCAGTGACAGGTGGTGATGCTGGCGTCTGCTGTCAGTCGCCTCACCCGAATCAACGCTCAGCCTCAGAGCCAGGCGTGGCATAGCCATGTGCAGGCGTGGGCAGGGTCCGCCGTGCAAGCTGGCGAGTGTTGTCCCTAGGTGGCCTGTGTGTGCCCTGATGTCAGAGCCAGGCCCAAACTTGGTCAACATCAAGTTACCCAAAGCCTTGTGGGATAGTGGGAATCCACACTGCAAGAGAGTAAGCATTCCAAAGTTTAAAGGGAAAACAGCCTCCCGGAGCTTGGTGGGGAGAACACGTGAGGCAGTCGACACCACGGCAACACGCAGGTTTCCAGGCCTGACTGCAGGCTAGAGCGCACAGGACCTAGGAACCACCACCGACAGAAGCCGAGGGGCTTCTGTCCAGCATGCTGGCTGCCTGGCCCAGGACGCGCAAGGGCTGCTGGTGTGGGGGGCAAAGCGCGGAGCAGCTGTGGGGAGAGCCAAGGCCGCCACAGTCGGGGGGAAAGGCAGAAACAAGAGCTAGCTGGAGGCTGGGGCAGGGCCCTGTGAGCCCAGAGCAGCAGTGTGGCCGACCTGGAGGTGTGGCCCCGAGCTGGATGATGCTGGATAACGAGGCAGGTGGCAGCTGGAGGGGAGGTGGGGCCCTGGGTGTGCAGGACACTGATTAAGGTCATTCCTAGCGTGGACCTGGGAGAGTTCCTCTGGTCCAGGCAGCAGCAGATCACAGGTAGGCCTCACTCAGGGCAGGGCCCCGGGCACGGGCTGCGCACACGGGCAGGCCTTATTCAGGGCAGGGCCCCGGGCACGGGCTGCACACGGGCAGGCCTTATTCAGGGCAGGGCCCCGGGCACGGGCTGCACACACAGGGACGCTCACAGTGCTCACCCAGTTGGTACAGTGTCACTCACTAAATGGGACAACAATCTTTGTCAATCCTGACACCAGTTGCTATTCCAACTTCTAGCTACTGAAATCAGGCTGTGATCCCAAGTCTTGCCAACCGCTCCCCAAAGCAGGGCTGTCTATCTTTTCTCTCATGTCGCCAATCAACTGCAGAAAAATAACTTCCCTCCACCCCCGCTAAGGTGGGGCTAAAGTACCAGCTTCCAGCCGAAGGGCGCTGGCATGAATGCCGCGGAGGGCTCCCTGAGATGCTTCAGAGTTAGGACTCGCTTCAGAACTGTGGGAATTACAGACGGTGCCTCCACCTCGGGCACGGCGGCTCCGCCTCAAACCAGGTCAGGAAAGTTAAGGCCGCGAAGAGCTTCCCGCAGGCTGCAGGCTGTGGCAGAGTGGCAGGCGGAAGAGGCCGCAGCCAAGCTTTGGCTCACGGAGGGCAGCTGTGCTGCGTGCTCAACGCATGTTTTTAAAAAGCAACTATTTCATCTATAGAATGTGAATGAACAAGCACTGCCTCTATGCGCAGACCTGAAAGTACAACCAGGGCGCCTCTGCACACACCAATCCTCACGTATTCACACAAGGCCCACAAGCCCCCGCTCGGTGCCCCTCACTTCTAGTCTAAGCTTAAAAATACCCTAAATCTGTAATTCAAGCAGCGGTGAGCCGAGAGGGCAGACACAGAACTTGTAAACTCTTAGCCATCCAATCAGAATCAGGATGCCACGCGTAACACAAAGGGTGTGAGCACACCCACTCCAGTGAGACCCACTTGCAGCTGCGGTGTGGTGGAGACACTCAGGGAGGGCGGGGTTCCAGCTGGCTCATGCTGGAAGGAAGGGTCCCGTCCCTGAGGTCACTCGGGGGCAGAAACCAGCGGGCCCCAGACACAGACATGACACCTGCCAGGGGGCGTGCAGGTCTCCCTCTGCAGCGACTGGTGCCCAACTGGATGGGCCAGCAGCTGAGCCTGTGTGGACTGGACCGGCTTGCTTGAGCTGGGAACACACTGACACGGCCACACGTGGCCACCTCGTGAGTGGTCCTACAGTCTCCTCTGCCCCAATGGATACGCGGTTACTGCGCGCCCCCTGCTGGCCACCCAAGCTCCGCACACTGACCTAAGAGCTGCACCAACCACTTACTCATTTCAAGGTACTCGTAGAAGAGCCCCAGCGTGCTCATGGCCTGCAGGTGGTAGTCCTGCTCCCAGCGCGGGGTCAGGTTGTCCGGTCCCGAGACCGAGTGATACCGGCCGATAAGGTTCATGATCCACCTGCCAAGGAATCGGGTGACAGGTCGGAACGTGCGTGTCCAGGGTGAGGTCTGAGAGCCCTGGGCTGCATTCAGCGCCGACCACCAGGCAGCCCAGGGCCTCGCGGCCCCAGACACGCTGTAAAGCAGCACAGAGGACCCTGGCCAGGGTCAAGGGAGCAGCTGCCGCCACCCCCTCCACACCACTCTCCCCTCCTCTGGCCAGTCAGCTTGTTCATCCCTTCCCAGCATTCCAGAGTCCTTGCAGGATGCAAATAACCAGAGGTCAGATGCTGTGGTGTGCCGTGCCTGTGCTCCGGAGCTACGGAAAGCAGGAGGCAGAACTACCTGTGCCCCAGACCAGGGCTCGCCCCTGAGGAACGGCTGCCAAGCAGGAGAGGGAGATGGCCCAGTAGAGAGTAGAGCCCAGCAGCCACAGGGAGGCCCGGGCGGGACAGGGAGGCCAGGGCAGGCCAGCGGGGGCTTCTCAGTGCTCTGTCCCCCGAGCCCCACCGGTCAGCAGTGACAGGGACAGGGCCGGGGCAGGCCAGGGCAGGCCAGCGGGGGCTTCTCAGTGCTCTGCCCGCCCCTCTCCCCCGGAGCTCCGCCGGCCAGCACTCACGGGAGTAGCACCTCCTGGATGTTATTCCAGATGGCTTTCCCGCCCATGATGATCGTCAACTGGGTGGTGAGTTCCAGGAGGCAGCCGCCGGGGTCACACTGCAATGCCACAAAGGCAGCCCGCTTATGGTTTGCAACGCACCCGTCCACCCTGGGTTGCTGCTAGTTCTCCCGCCCAGGCCTACGCCAGCGGCCCAAGCGGCCCGTCCGTACCTCCTCATTCCTGTACTTTCCCAGCCAGTAGACAGGGTCCCCGGGATAGCCCACGAATTTGCCCTTGAAGAAGGCGATGTAGAAGCAAGAGGAGTAGTAATTCACGAACTGGAACAGGAACATCTTCATGGTGAGGCTGTTCTCATAGTCAGTCTGCGTCCTGGGCAGCTCTGTGAGGTACAGGGGAGGGCGGTGCTGAGCCGGGGCAGGCCAGGAGAGGGCAGCACTGAGCCGGGGCAGGCCAGGGGAGGGCGGTGCTGAGCCGGGGCAGGCCAGGAGAGGGCAGCACTGAGCAGGGGCAGGACAGGGCCACACTGGGGCCAGGGCAGGGAGGCACTGAGCCTGAGCAGGACAGGGCTGTGATGGGGCTAGGGGAGGGCGGCGCTGAGCCCGGGGAACACTGGGGAGGAGGGCACTGAGCTGGGGCAGGCCAGGGCTGAGCCGGGGCAGGCCAGGGCTGAGCCAGGGCAGGCCAGGAGAGGGCAGCACTGAGCTGGGGGCAGGACAGGGCTGCTCCGGTGCCAGGGTACCCAGGCTCATGGCACAGGGGAGTGTGGCACTGAGCCTGGGCAGGACAGGGGCACTAAGTGCTTAAGTGGCTGCCCAGGACACTGGCCAGGGAGAAGACAACTTACTGAAGATGGCAGAGCCAGCAAGTCTGGGAGACACATGGCCATACCCTGCTTGCCCTGGCTGCTGGATCCGGGAGCCCGGCCCCTTACTGGCTATAGAGACAGTGACAGCCTGCCCTCAGCAGCCAGATGCCCCAGGCCGTGTCCCTGAAATGTGACTTAGTGCTGACCTCACAGGGAGCCTGCATGGGACAGTGGGCATCCCTGCTTCTTTGATGGCTATGAAGCTGCACAAGAGGCATTTCTCATCCAGGCACAGACACAGCCATACCCAGGACCATCCACCCTGCCCAGATTCTCACCCGAGACCATCCGCCTCACCCAGAGCCACACCAAGGACTGTCCACCCTGCCCAGGGCCTCACTCCACCCAGGGCCTCACCAAGGACTGTCCACCCTGCCTAGAACCTCACCCGAGACCATCCGCCCTGCCCAGGGCCTCACCTCACCCAGGGCCTCACCAAGGACTGTCCACCCTGCCCAGGGCCTCACCCCACCCAGGGCCTCACCAAGGACTGTCCACCCTGCCCAGATTCTCACCCCACCCAGGGCCTCACCAAGGACTGTCCACCCTGCCCAGGGCCTCACCCGAGACCATCCGCCCGCCCAGGGCCTCACCAAGGACTGTCCACCCTGCCTAGAACCTCACCCGAGACCATCCGTCCGCCCAGGGCCTCACCAAGGACTGCCTACCCTGCCCAGGGCCTCACCCGAGACCACCCGCCCGCCCAGGGCCTCACCGAAGTTGGTGATCATGATGGCCACCTTCTCATAGATGGTATTCAGGATCATGATGATGATGAAGCTGATGATGGAGGCGGTGATGGACGTGGCCGTCTGCGGGGTCAGGTACTTCTGGATGGCCTCTGTCCCATTGAGGGTCTTGGGCAGCTGGGCAGAGAAGACGATGAACACCGACAGCCGGTACACGATGATCCCAATCACCGAGGCAATGATCAGCAGGATCTGAAAGCACAGGATGTGTTGGGCTGCCAGGCTGAGCACCTGCTCCCTCTGGGCTTCGTGTTAACCCTAGGGAGAAGCAAGATGGCGGAATAGGGTGAGGACACGATTAAACAGATGGAGAAACAATAGCCAGGGTGAAGCAGAGAGGGCACATTCCAGGAAACAGGAGAGGACAGAACGGCAGCAGAGGGGCACCTGGACACTGACAGACACAGGAAAGCAGCAGACACAATGGTGTGGAGTTGCAGTGACTGATAGCCCAGCAGCATTCAGCAATCAGCAGTCGGAACTCCACCAGGAACAAAGGAAGGGACGTTCACCTGCAGCTCAGGAGGTGAACCCAGACAAAGAACTGCCCGTCCTGCTGGTCTATTTGATTTGACCAGGAGCAGAGACAGAGTGGCAGGGCCCACACAGGCAGTGTGGAAATAGGGTGGATTTCACAGCCCGGATGCCCCAGGGGAGCCAAATCGGTGTCATCTTGTATACGGAGACAAAGGCTATGGACAGAACGGCGCATGCACTGAGCTTGGAGGGAACTCATTCCTGGCTCAGTGAATTGCAACAACGTGGCATCCCACAGGTTCTACCCAAGATAGGGTAGCCCTCAGACCTGACAGCCAACAGGTTCCACCAAGATCAGCATCACCAAAAACCTAGCTATATATAGGACATCTGGTGTTTCCCTAATCCTGGGACCTGCTCCAACCAGAAATGGGAGAAAGGTTGTACAAGCAACGGTGCAGCCTCAGCATGGTATCTCAGGAATGTGAGTGGTGAGCCAGGGGCTGGGGCTACAGAGCCCATGGTGGGAATCTAAGAACCCAGACCTGGAGCTCACTGCAGGGAGTGGTACAATGACTGCAAACAAAGAGTCGTGCACCAACTAGGATAAGTAAAATCGAACTGTAGACCTGTGGGTGACAGAGCTTAGAAACCTGCCCCGAGGAGAAGAATCTGCTAACCAGAAGTACAATGACCAAGAGCAAAAGAAGAGATGCAGGCACAATGAGTATTACTGAAGACTCCCCTGCCAAGGAGAAAAACTCCTTGCCAACCTCAGAGTTAACTGAGGAATACATCGAGAAAGCGGAGGATACAGAATTCCAAACACTTTTATAAAACTTCTTATCAACAATGAGAAGCACATAATACAGGAATTCAAGCAATTTAAGGAATATGTCACACAGGAAATGAATCAAATGAAAGCTGATACATCAGAAGTGAAGAATACAGTGCAGCAAATTAAAAGTACAGTACAGAGTCTCCAAAGTGGAATGAAGGAGGCAGAAGAAATAATCTCAGAATTGGAAGATATTTCCTGTCACCAGTAGGAAACAAACAAAAAGCTGGAAAGCAGAGCTGGATCAGGCTGAAGAAAGCATCCTGCGACACCTGTGGGTTATGGGCACACGGGACGTTTTGTTTGGGGTGCTGCTTCTGGGAACCCCCTACCCTGTTTGGTCTCCCCAGAACTGGGAAACCTAGCACCCCTGATCTGAGCAGCATGGACGTCCTGGCCCCTCCACAGCTGCCCTTGCCATGGCCACATAGCTCCAGGGCCGCCTGGCTCCTCTCCAGCTTCCTGCATGTGAACCCGCATGTGTGCAATCCTGTGGGACGCCCCAGCAGCCGTCCCGGGAGCACTCGTCCCGGGAGCACTCCGCCCGGACTTACCCAGAAAAAGACGGCGCTGGCACAGAGCGTGATGCGGATACACTTCCCCCAGGCAGTGAAAGGGATGCGCTCTTCCTCCTGCGAGGAAAAGGCCTTGGTGAACGGGTCTCCTCCGCCCCCTGGAGGCACCTGCAAGCGCGGCCTGCGACACCAACACACCCTGCAGGGGCTCGGACCCTGGAGCACCGGTTCTGCAAAGTGCAAGCTGGGTAGCAAGCCGTGTGTCTGCCATGACCGGCTTGAGCCAGCTGTGCTGAGCTCCTCTGGGCTGTGTCACCATACACCAGCACGTACGGACAAGGTATATGTTTCCTGGGCATCTGAGCCCCAGCTCTGACGACTGTGTCCAGGCCATGGGTGGCTATGCCACCATCACAGGGCCCCTACATGGCTCAGCTGCTGCCTGCCTGGCCACTGGGACCACACAGCTACGATTCCTGTGGCTGGATCAATAACACTTCCTTTCTGGGCGCACACCTTGACCTTGGCCTCAGAGAAGAGTGGGATGTTCGTATGGCAGATGATGCCAGCTGCTTCTGCTCACTGGCATTTTTCTGTTTACAAGCCCGGGTGCTCCCATGCCCCCTGCAGCTCCCCTGAGGGCTGCACCCTAGAGGGCTCGGTCCCCTTGCAGGAAGCCCGCATCTGGGGACACCTTCAGCTGCTCCTGAAGAGGCACTTTTATGGCCGGAGCAGCCTGCATGCGGACCCCTCCGCCCCGGCTGTCCATATCCCACGAGTACAGGCAACTTCCAGGGACGTCCAGTTTTCACTGTTATTCTGGAAAAGGGTTGTATCTCTCTACTATATGCACAAAATGGACAGGACACCCCGTGAGCTGCTGAGAGCCCCGGGGGTGCCACGTGGAGCCTGGTGGAGCAGCCCCCCGCAGGGGCGCACCTGTGTGATCTCGTTAATCACCACGTGGGTGCACTGTGCTTCATACTCGGGCCGCGGCTGCTCCTCCTGCTGCAGCTCCACCGTGTCCCATTCGTACTCCAGTTCGGCCTGGCGCCGCTTCCAGAACTCCAGGAACAGGGTGACTAGGAGAGACGGACAGCAGAGGGTCAGCGGGTCTGCAGGGACACCAAGGTGCCTGGTGCTCTGGGCATGCTCACTGAGCTCCGGCGTGACTCGAGGTTTATGAGGGAGGCCGGAATTCCTTGGGTGAAGATGTTAGTGCCTATGCTGGTGGCCAGGGGCACAGGCCCACAGTGAGGGCAGGCTGGGCAGGCAGCAGGTGTCCCCGAGGGCCCGACACAGTACCCCATGTACTGTCACTGCCGGTGGTCAGGGGCACCCGTCCTCCGGTCTGCTTCGCCCCACACCTGCTGTTCCCCCACTGCCTTCCTAAGGGCCTGTGGTCACTCCAGCTCCTCCCGGGAACATAATTTGCCCTTGCTTCTCAACCTTGTGAGAGCATGGACAGCGTTAAGGGAGCCGGTTCACAGCTGTAAGTCCAGATGAAGTGGCCGTTGACGCCCAGCCTCGAGGGAAAACCTGAGACCTTGGCTGCTGCCCCCAGACCCTCCTAGACAGATTCCAGGGTCACCCTGTCCAGGTGTGTGCTGTGTGCTGTGCAGGAGGACAAAGACGACGGTCTCTGCATCTGAGCACAGGGCTCGGGGCACTTGGAGCCACAGTGCCCATCCCGGTGTGTGGCCAGGGAGTGGCATGCCAGGGGACCAGCTCATCAGGTGAAGTCTGGGGAGTGGTGGTGAGGGGAGCTGCCAGTCCATGTGGGCGCTCAGGATCAGAAAACATGCCAGTGGGACGGGACATTCACAAGTCCACCCTCACTGTTGGGATTGCCGGCCACAACCCTGGCCATGGACTTCAAACAAGAATACAGAAGCCATGTTAGAAGTTAGTGGAAAATGGGGCCTGGCGTGGTAGCCTAGTGGCTAAAGTCCTTGCCTTGCATATGCCAGGATCCCATATGGGCACTGGTTTTAATCCTGGCAGTCCTACTTCCCATCCCAGCTCCCTGCCTGTGGCCTGGGAAAGCAGTTGAGGACGGCCCAAAGCCTTGGGCCCCTGCACCCGTGTGGGAGACCTGGAAGAGGCTCTGGGCTCCTGGCTTCGGATCAGTTTAGTTCCGCCCTTGGGGAGTGAATCAGTGGACGGAAGATCTTCCTCTCTCTCCTCCTCTCTGTATATCTGTCTTTTCAATAAAAAAAACTTAAAATTAAAAAAAAAGGGGGGGGGAGGAAATGGAATGAAAAGATCATCCTTGCTTTTCGTGCAAAATATTTTGAAGTCCTTTGACATGAGGGGCCGTCAAAAGCTGCAGGCCGGCTTAGCCCGGACCGCTGCAGCTACGAGGGTCGGTAGTGAAACAGTCAGATGTCTTTTATCTGTCTCTCTTGTTCTCTCTGTTCTCTGCCTTTCAAATATGCAAACCTAAAAAATTTTGGAAAAGAAATATTTGAAACATTATGCATGAATTTAAAAATGTTCTGCATCAAAATAAACCCATCACTGAATGCACTGTGTCCACTCCCTAATTACCCATCGGCCCACGAGGACCCGACCGCCACTGGCTCCAAGGCGGGGGGCCAGCCCAAGACGGATGGGGGGAACCTGGGACGGAGACCTGTTTCTCAGAAACCCCAACAAAGGAGCAATTTTACCAAGGAAAAGCAGCATTTCTGTATCTTGTCAAAGGTCACACTACCCCTTCCTCGGAGGCTGAGGACGGCCCAGTGCTGGCAGGGCTCGGGTCTGCGCCCGTGGCTTCCCGTGTAGAGCCTGGGGGACTCCGTCCTCCCAGCCACGGGGCCCGCGAGCCCACAGGAGCTGCCTCAGAAGCCACATTGGCTTTCCGCACGAGCGGCAGCAGCCACACCGTCATGCTGTGCGGGGAGAGCACGGGGCCGTGCAAGGGCTGCTGCTCACGGCGCTGCGAGCATGGCTGGGGCCCGAGAGGGTGACCACGCAAGCTGGAAATCACCTGGTACCCCTCAACCCCACTGTGCACCTGCAGGCACGCCCCCGGGGCCAGAGGGCACAGGTTTGCGCAGGCACCGGTGCCTGGGGACCAGGGTTCTGCACCTCTCCTGGGCCACAAGTGTGGCTGCACGAGGCTGCATGTTCCCAGGGAGACGGGGCTGGGCTGACCATGCCCGACCACAGTTCCCGGCCTCTCCCAGCAACAGGACACCTCACTGAAACCCAAGGTGGAGGTGGGGCATGCACTTGGCTCTCTGGTAAACCACACAGCCCGAGGCCTGGGGCTGGGGTGGGCAGAGCCCCGCTCAGCAGGGCCCGGGGCTGGGGCGGGCAGAGCCCCCGCTCAGCAGGGCCCGGGGCTGGGGCGGGCAGAGCCCCGCTCAGCAGGGCCCGGGGCTGGGGCGGGCAGAGCCCCGCTCAGCAGGGCCCGGGGCTGGGGCGGGCAGAGCCCCGCTCAGCAGGGCCCGGGGCTGGGGCGGGCAGAGCCCCGCTCAGCAGGGCCCGGGGCTGGGGCGGGCAGAGCCCCGCTCAGCAGGGCCCGGGGCTGGGGCGGGCAGAGCCCCCGCTCAGCAGGGCCCGGGGCTGGGGTGGGCAGAGCCCCGCTCAGCAGGGCCCGGGGCTGGGGTGGGCAGAGCCCCGCTCAGCAGGGCCCGGGGCTGGGGTGGGCAGAGCCCCGCTCAGCAGGGCCCGGGGCGGGCAGAGCCCCGCTCAGCAGGGCCCGGGGCTGGGGTGGGCAGAGCCCCGCTCAGCAGGGCCCGGGGCTGGGGCGGGCAGAGCTCTGAAGGCTGGCTGCTTCCCAGGGGAGAGGATTACACCACAGGCATCCCAACAGGCTTGCTACCCTTGCCTTTGGTAATCTCTCAGGAGAGAAGCCTTCTGGGTACACGAGGTGCCACAGGAATGCCCCTGCACCTGCATAGCTCTGCAATTTCAGACTTTCTGAAAGGTCACCCGGTCACGCCCGTAAGGCAGATGGAGAGGGAACGAGTGAAGCCATGTGCAGCCCTCATGGCAGCCAGCACAGCCCAGGGACATAGCCCTCCTGGCGGTCAGCACAGCCCAGGGACACAGCCCTCCTGGCGGTCAGCGCAGCCCAGGGACACAGCCCTCCTGGCGGTCAGCACAGCCCAGGGTCGCAGCCCTCCTGGCGGTCAGCACAGCCCAGGGTCGCAGCCCAGGGTCGCAGCCCTGAAGATGCAGCCGTGTCCCCACTGGTGACAGTAACTTACCCCATACTCCCATGAACACTGCGAAGATCAGGGTCCCGAAACTGTCAAAGATACAGAGTTTCTGGAAGACACGATTGTGACACCATGAGTCCACCTCCCTCCTCCCAGGCCTCGGGCCGTCCGGGCCGCGTGCAAGGCGTGACCTGTGCAGCCATCTGCGCTTCTTCCCAACCAGCTCTACCTCCACCCCAGCCGCCCTTCTCCATAGGAAGTGGACTTGACTGATTAAAAAAAAAAATTCTTTAAAAGGAAGTTACAGAGACCAAAGGAGAAGCAAGAGGGATCTTCCATTTCTGGCTCACTCCCCAAATGGCCACGAGGCCAGAGCTGGGCCAGTCCAAAGCCAAGAGTTTCTTTCCAGTCTCCGACGTGGGTACAGGGCCAAGCTCTCGGCTCGTCCTCGACTGCATTCCCACACGCATCAGCAAGGAGCTGGTTGGGAAGTGGAGCAGCCGGGCCTGGAACCGGTGCCCATACAGGATGCCCCGCGGGTCCACAGTGCCAGCCCGGCCTTCCCCGAGGAGCCTCTGTAGTTCCCAGCAGGATCTCTTCCCAGTGGGTGGCTGGAGCAAAGGCACCTGCTGTGAGCTGTCCTGTGTTCTTTCCATCTCACGTCTTTGCACCACATTCCCCTGCCCATCCAATGCAGGCTCTCTACTGAGGACCTCACCCAAGGACGCTGTCCCCGAGACCTGCTGTCAAATCCATGACGACTCCTCCTGGGTGACAGGTGTCCGCCACAGCCAGGACACACAGGCCGAGGCAGGCCTTGTGGACTTCCTGGGAGACCCTGCCGTGACTCCCTAGGGCTTTGTGTGTGGGCACTGCTACGTCTCCTGCGTCTTCCACGACCACGACCCCAGACAAAGCGGGCAGCGTGCGTGGCCTAGGCCTGATCGCAGATTACGTGGGCGTGAGGAAGACAGGCCAGTGGCTAGGAAAGGCAGCCGCTGCTCCCCAGGGTGGGGGAACCCACAGAGCCCGTGTCTCTCTTATCTCCGCTTTGGCTTCCACGGAACCATCCTCCCAGGCCGCGTGCTCATGCGACACTTGTGTTTCGTTGGCAGCTACACAGAAGGTCCCCTAAACACAGCCCCCAGGTGACAAGGCCACTAGCTAGATTTGGCCAAGGTCACCCCATCTTGGACGTCATGCCAGCCTCCTCCTGATGCCACCCTGCCAGTCTCGACATTTCTGCCCATGTGCACCGGGAGCAGCTACGGCCCGTGCATTCTCAGCCCTCCTCCTCTGGGAAAAGGCAGCAGGGACACAGCTGCTGGCACCAGAGGAAACACAGGGGCAGGGAGAAAGGCCATCTCCCCAGCAGGTCAGCTCAGGCAGGGACGTGCCTGGCCCTCCCAGGAGAGAACAGTTTGGGGGTGGGGGGGTGCTGCTGCTATTGCCAATGTGTGGAAATCAAGACTCAAGAAAAAGAGCACGCTGGGGAAGACAGTAAGAGGCCACTCTGAAAGCAGCCCGGCTTAGATGCCAGGCAGGGTCCGGGCAGGGCGAGAGGCTGCGTCAGCCCCAGGCCCCCATCAGCAGCCCTGGTGGTCACACAGGGCAACGGAGGCACAGCTCCATGTGCAGCAGCAGGACCCGATCAGAACACCGCAGTCCAGGGGGTGGGGCCTGCAAAGAGGCCACGGAAAACAGCTACAGAAAATGATGCAGCCACGCTTGGGTTTCAAATGTGGCTGGTCTCCACTCATGCACAGCTGCCTCACAAGCGTGGTACACACCCACCAGCAGCTGCCTTACAAGCGTGGCACACGCCCACGGACAGCTGCCTCACAAGCGTGCTACACACCCACCAGCAGCTGCCTCACAAGCGTGGTACACGCCCACGTGCAGCTGCCTTCCAGTTCCCTTTCCAGACACGACCCGAAGGACCCTGGTCTGCAGAACACCTGCCCGGTACACATGGACAAACAGGGCGTCTGAAAACCCCAGCACAGGCTGGTTCACCGTGGGGGGGAACGGGGCAGGGCTCGGCTGCCTCCCCCCTCTCTGAGCCTCCGACAGGTGTCCCTGGATGCGCTGTGTTGCAGCTCCTGCCTGGCCATCGCCGCCTCCTCACCAAGCCCCACCAGGCCCCACTTCACCATCCCTGACAAGCACGACGGGCACGGCCTGCTCCCTTCCCCCACATCTGAATGTTGGAAAATTCTCTCTGAACGACCCCGAGGGAAAAGAGAGAGACCGCCTGTCTGTTACAGGTCTAAATGGTGACGCAGGCAAACTGTGCTGTGTGGCGTCGGGAGCCACAGACCTTACCTTCGAGGACTCACAGGTGATGTTGAGCTTCCAGAAGGGACAGAGTCTGTCACACTGTGGACACATGACGATCTGGCCTCCGATGTCGGGGTTACACACTTCCTTGCTGAAGAACGGAGGGAACGTATGAGCATTTGTGAAGTGACCTGCTTCCAGGCAGCACCGTGCCGTACAAGAGCCGCTTGTGGTGAGAGAATCAATTGCATCTCACGTGAAACCAGGCCTCAAGGTGGCCTGTGTCAGCACGCTGTGAAAAACCTGATAACTCCACACTCGGGGAGACGTGCTGTCCATATTTCCCACCACAGGAGTCGGGGGGCCTGTCTTCCCACTGCTGGCAACGGCCAGTGCCCCACGGCACAGCGAGTGCGGGAACAGCCCCCATGGAGAGAGTATGTGAGTCACTCCAAGGGACCTGCAGGTGCATGGTGAGAATCAGGAGGCTCACACAACAAAATACGCACACAACACAGCTGGGACCCTGTGTCGCTACGCCTTCAGCAATCAGAACCATTCTTTAAAAACGTATTCTCAATAGCTTAAAATGTACGCTTTCAACCAGCTCCCAGCTACTCCCTGCCTTAGGCTCAGTGCAGTCCTAGATGCTGTAGGCACTCGGGGCAATGAACCAGAGCATGGAAGATCTCTGACTTTCAAGTAAGTGGAAATAATGCACATTCTGAAAAGAATCAACGATGGGTAGAAGAACTGGTCGTCTGTTGAACCAAATGGGCACAGATGCCCGGACCTGAGCTTGCACGCCTGAGCCTGCCAGTGTAGCCGGTGCCTGAATCCTGTCACGGGCTCATCCGGTCTGGCTGCTGCCCAGGAAGAGGCCAGACGGTCACAGGCTGAAGGCAGCAGAGGGCCACAGCAAGAGCCCTGTGGGCCGAATGAGAAAAACTCCAGCTCCAGGACTGCCCCAGGGGGCGGGCAGCGCAGCTGGCACCTGAACCTACAGGACACCCCTGGGCACCACAGCTGGCACCTGAACCCACAGGACGCCCCCGGGCAGCACAGCTGGCACCTGAACCCACAGGATGCCACCCTGGGCAGCACAGCTGGCACCTGAACCCACAGGACGCCCCCGGGCAGCACAGCTGGCACCTGAACCCACAGGATGCCACCCTGGGCAGCACAGCTGGCACCTGAACCCACAGGACGCCCCCGGGCAGCACAGCTGGCACCTGAACCCACAGGACGCCCCCGGGCAGCACAGCTGGCACCTGAACCCACAGGATGCCACCCCGGGCAGCACAGCTGGCATCTGAACCCACAGGACGCCCCCAGGCAGCGCAGCTGGCATCTGAGCCCACCACCAAGCACCGATTCTCACACTGTAAGCAGCATGCTTTTTCAAGGTGGAAGGCAGACGCTACTGCCGTTTCCTTGGGCTCTTCCACATGCATCTCCGAACTGGGACCCAGAAGCCATTTCTGAACACAGACCACTGCTGCCCTGGTCCCTGGGGACAGGCCGAGGCAGGGGTGCTCGCGGGCTGCAGGTTCATGGGCAGCATCCCCCCAGCCCCTCTTCCTGTTTCCCGTAGTGTTCACTGCTAAGGCTCTTCCTGCTGGGCCGCACCGTCCACGGAAACGCTCTCCTTTTCCCTTGGCTACCCTGCAAGGGCACCCTGGCACGAGGCTCCTCCCACCAGGACATTCTGGAAGTTGCCCCCAGGAAGGCAGCGAGGAACAAACGGTCACCTCCACGTGCAGTTCTCCTGGTTCAGGTAGCCGTACAGGAAGCAGGCCACGCCCACCACGGCGGCCAGCAGCAGCATCTGAGTGTAGTAGCCCAGCCAGGCGAAGTAGATCCCGATCTTCTCTCCGTAGTACTTCCTGTGGGGCGGGGGGGACCAGGGCTGAGGCGGGCACAAGGAGGGGAGGTGCCAGCTCCGCCACCACCCCCTGAACTGTTCTCACAGCCCTTGACACGCATGAGACAACGCGCATTCCGTTCACAGCCACCTGCTTCTGCTTCTGTGGGGGAAGGCACTTGCTTAGCAGGAAGGCCATGTAAACCACAGACAGTAAGAAGACGCAACGCTAACCTGACCGTCACCTGCAGAACGCACTGCGAGGCCCCCGGGGACCACGGACAACTGTAACAAAGTCACGTACACGCGACCTGGCTTTGTTTCCGTCACACACCTCGACTGCTCAATGTGAACCTCACAGCGGGGGCCACTGTGTCCGGGGGAGAGGCGGCCCCCGCCAAGGGCCCGTGGGGGACGCGGGGTGCAGCATGTCCAGGACTGTGTAGCCGCTGCTGGGGACTTTTAATCTAGCGTGTCTACTTCACCCTAATGTTTCAAAGCCCAAAGAGTGCGTGTTGGGGTGAACTGGGCGAGGCTATGCAAGCAAGATCAGCAGGAGGGTGAGTCAAGGCGATGCCAGACAGAACCCCGAGGAGACAGACACATCTAACACTAACTCTCAGCGCCGTGACAGGTGGGCATCACAGGGCACCCTCAGCGCCGTGACAGGTGGGCGTCACGGGGCACCCTCAGCGCCGTGACAGGTGGGCGTCACGGGGCACCCTCAGCGCCGTGACAGGTGGGCGTCACGGGACACCCTCAGCGCCGTGACAGGTGGGCGTCACAGGGCACCCTCAGCGCCGTGACAGGTGGGCGTCACAGGGCACCCTCAGCGCCGTGACAGGTGGGCGTCACAGGACACCCTCAGCGCCATGACAGGTGGGCGTCACAGGGCACCCTCAGCGCCATGACAGGTGGGCGTCACAGGGCACCCTCAGCGCCATGACAGGTGGGCGCCACAGGGCACCCTCAGCGCCATGACAGGTGGGCATCACGGGGCACCCTCAGCGCCATGACAGGTGGGCGTCACAGGGCACCCCGGTGTACACCACAACAGATGCCCACGTGTCTCACTGGACCTCTCTGCCATCACTCACCTGATGAGGTCCAGTGGCTGCTTCTTGTATATGCTCCGGGGGTGCGCCCATTCCCGGTACAGCAGATACCGCTCGTTGGGGCAGCTGGGGTCCTCTGAGCGGTAGCGGAACCTGCACTGAGGGGCAGAAAAACACCGTGGTGGGCGTCACAGGCATGGGCTCTCAGGCTGGTCCTTGGCTATCCCACCCACGGCCCCAGGGGCTACAGCGGGTGGACCCTCTGCTGAATGCTCAGTGACCCCTGACCACTGCTCTGCGCCATCCACAAAGGAGGGAACATCGTGGGTGCCTGGAGGAACACACAAGCATGCTATTGTCCCTCAAGGGCGGCCAGTATTAAACAGTGAAAAACTGGATGCCCAAGTGCCACAGCAGGGAACGAGGGCCTTGGCTGGTCAACAGTAAAGCCGGTTCAAAATAAAAACAAGGAAACACTCAGCTCACTCGAGAACCCAACCTGCCATGTCTGCTCAAACCCAGCTGGACTCAGTGTCTTATGGTTGGAGGCACATGACCTCACAAACTAGCCTGACTCCAGGCTCAGCCTGCTCCCTCCCAAACCCCATCTCTGGCCTGGGCATGAGGCCACTGCAACCACAAGAGGCACCGCCGGAGAAGATCTGGGCACTACCCAGCCCAGCATCTAGATGCACACTCACACACTGACCACCTGCACGGCGCTTGCAAGCAGTCACACGGCCCCCGGCTGGACACCACGGCGGGTCTCAGCCAGGCTTGTGCTCCTCCGGCTGCCCCCTGCCCTGGTGTCATTATCTTGCACCCACATTTCATTTCTGTCTCCAAAAACAGACGGGCACACCACATAGCAGCAATGGCCAATCTCAACTTTTGCTTTTTTTTTTTTTTTAAGAGATTCAATATAGTGGTAATAGTTAATTCAAAAAGTAATCGTGTGACATAATGCAGTTATATTTTAATAACCCATCAGAGACCTCATCAGCTGGTGAAACACTCGAATTTGAGCAACTGCTGCAGATCTCAGCAACTGCCCCTTAACATACAGCAGTGTGGGATGCCACCACTGCGACGGGCCCTGGGACACGCACAGAGAACCATAAAAATGAGAATATCAAATCTACCCAAATAATGCTCCCCTGGTGGCTGCCACCATCTGTGGTAATGAAAGCAGCTGACGCTGACACGGCACTTCCACTCTGGGGGTTCTACTATCACCCCCACTTTACCGGTGAGAAGGCAAAGGGACACGGCTGTCAGCCGAGAACGGGCAGAGAAGATGAACCGCTCAGGGGCTCGGCCTCGCAGATCCACTGAGACACGACGCATTCACTCCTCCTTCCTGCTCGACACCCGGACCCATTCTTGCCCTCTCTGGACCTGGGACCCACCAGAACATGACTGCTACTTGAGAGAGGAAGAGGGAAGCCCCACCCGTTGTCCATGGCGCACGGCAGGCCTCCCGCTGCGCCTCTGCCCTTGACTTACGTCATGGAGGGGGAAGGCCGCCTTGTAGATGCCTGAGCTCACGAGTCTGTTAATCCCAAACTTTTTCACGCTCACCGACTGATACTCGACGCGCGAGAGGATGAAGTGCACCTGCAAGGATTCCAAAACACAGGGCGTGGCGCACCTGCCGAGGACCCCGACCCCCGCCGACTGCTGCCCCCGACCGCTGCCTGCACCCTAACAGGAGCCCCCAGGCACACCTATTACACAGGGCGTGGCGCACCTGCCGAGGACCCCGACCTCCACCGACTGCTGCCCCCGACCGCTGCCTGCACCCTAACAGGAGCCCCCAGGCACACCTATTACACAGGGCGTGGCGCACCTGCCGAGGACCCCCGACCCCCGCCGACCGCTGCCCACTGACCGCTGCCCACCGACCGCTGCCTGCACCCTAACAGGAGCACATCTATTTTCTTAGCTCTGAACCACGAAGCAAGCCAGCCAGAACACGAACCGTCCCCCAGCAGGCTTCCACGCAGCCCTGGAAGCCCCCAACTCACGATGCGACTCCTGGTGGCCGGGTTGAAGAAGGCATCCTTGTCCACGATGTAGAAGTCCTTCATCCGGCTCTTCTCGAACGGGGCCGTGAAGAACTCCTGCTCCGGCTTGATGATGCTCTCATCCACCTGCAGGGCCTTGGTGAACCAGCCCAGGGTGCCGAAGGCCGAGGACCGGGACTTCAGGTCGTTGGGCTTGAGCGGCAGCTTGATGTGCATGATTTCCGCGTAGGTGCACAGCACGTCCCACGGCGCGTGCACCTTCACAAACACCAGCTTGTCGTCCAGCACCTGTGGAGCCAGCACACACGCCAGGAAGCAGGTCAAGCACAAGCCAGGTCTGCTGGGGATTCCACACACGTGCACACAGACACGCCCACAGATGACGTCTGTGAAATATCACTGTACACTTTTACCCGCTAAGAAATTCAAATCATCACAGTTCCTTCATCAAGCTAACAATATATTTTTTAAAAGATTTATTTTTATTGGAAAGTCAGATATACAGAAAGAGAGACAGAGAGAGAAAAACCTTCCATCTGTGCATTCACTCCCAAGTGGCTGCAACAGCCAGAGCCGCGCCAATCTGAAGCCAGGAGTCAGGAGCCTCCTCCAGGTCTTCCACATGGGTGCAGGGTCCCAAGGCTTTGGGCCGTCCTCGACTGCTTTCCCAGACCACAAACAGGGAGCTGGATGGAAAGGGAGGCCACTGGGATACAACTGGCACCCACATGGGATCCCAGTGTGTGCAAGGCGAGGACTTTAGCTGCTAGGCTACTGCACCAGGTCTAACAATATCTTAAATACAGAAAAACCTTCACTACTTTGTCCATTATGCTATCCAAACAAATCACTTAAAATAACATCAGAAAAATCACTGCAATGGTAGAATAATGAAAAAATTTAAATTCTCTAAACCTAAAATTAGATTAAATCATTCTACACCCGCTCATTATCATGGTGTGGGGCCATTAAAAAGCCAAAAAATATGTTTATTGTTTAGAAATGCATATATGATATAAAGAAAAAAAGCACACAAAATTGCAAAATAATTCTTTTTGAAAAGTATAAATATTTTTTCTAGCTGTTGGTACATTGTTTTCTTTAAAAAAATTGAGGGCCTGGTGTGGTAGCCCAGCAGCTAAAGTCCTCACCTTGCATGCCTGGGATCCCATATGGATGCCAGTTCTAATCCCAGTGGCCCCGCTTCCCATCCAGCTCCCTGTTTGTGGCCTGGGAAAGCAGTCGAGGACGGCCCAAAGCCTTGGGACCCTGCACCCGCGTGGGAGACTCGGAAGAGGCTCCTGGCTTGATTGGTGCAGCTCCGGCCGTTGCGGCCACTTGGGAAGCGAATCAAGGGATGGAGGATCTTTGTCTCCCCTCCTCCATATGTCTGACTCTCCAATAAAAAATAAAATAAATCTTAAAAAAAAAAACAAACAAACATAGGGGCCAGCACATAGTTCAACAGGCTAATCCCACACAGCATCCATATATACACTGGTCTGTGTCCTGGCTGCTCCACTTCCCAGCCAGCTCCCTGCCTGCGGCCTGGGAAAGCAGCGGAGCACGGCTCAGGTCCTTGGGCTCCTGCACCCACGTGGGAGATCTGAAAGGAGCTTCTGGCTCCTGGCCTCAGATCGGCTCAGCTCCAGTCACTGCCACCATCTAGGGATTGAACAAGCAGATGGAAGATCTTTCTCTCTCCTTCTCTCTGTAAATCTGCCTTTTCAATTAAATAATAATAATGATGATTGAAGCACAAAGTGACGGAGGACAGGGAGGGAGTCAAGGGGAAAGAGAGAGACTCCACGGATCATCCTTCCAGCGGCCACCGCCAGGGCTGGGTCAGGTGGCAGTCAGGAGTCAGGAGCTCCACCCAGGGCTCCCACGGGCAGCACGGACCCAGGTACTGGGGCATCTTCTGCTGCCTTCCCAGGAGCACAGGAAACGGAACTGGAAGCATCTTAACCTGCTTTGCCACAACAAGCTCTCTCTTTGTTCAAATTAAAGAAAAAAAAATGAAAGGCTCTTACAGGGAATAAAAATCATCATGCACTCTTTTTAAAAAATGCGCTGGCAGTCAAAAACAACCAAATCTGCTGGCTCCTACCAGCCAGCACAGCAGGTAGTGCCCCCAGTGGCCAATGCTGTGCGTCCCTGTTCAACACACATTCTAAGTGGCATGGCGCGCCACCACGTCCCTCACCGAGCGTGTCGCTTCCAGCTCCAGGCCGCAGCACATGAGGTTCGACTCGTACCTTTGCCTTTTTTTCTGTGGAAAGAGCACAACATTTGTGAGGCCTTCAGATGACCAGAGGCCAAAGACAAACAACAAGAGAACCAGCTGTGTCCAACGAGGAGACAAAGGCGAGGTCTGGGCACTGCACGGGGCACTCCGGAGGACCTCGCTCTGAGTGCACTGGGCACTGCACGGGGCACTCCGGAGGACCTCGCTCTGAGTGCACTGGGCACTGCACGGGGAACTCCGGAGGACCTCGCTCTGAGTGCACTGGGCACACCGCATGGGGACACTCCAGAGGACCTCGCTCTGAGTGCACTGGGCACTGCACGGGGCACTCCGGAGGACCTCGCTCTGAATGCACTGGGCACACCGCACGGGGACACTCCAGAGGACCTCGCTCTGAGTGCACTGGGCACTGTACGGGGACAGTCCGGAGGACCTCGCTCTGAGTGCACTCGGCACTGCACGGGGCACTCCGGAGGACCTCGCTCTGAGTGCACTGGGTACACCACACGGGGTACTCCGGAGGACCTCGCTCTGAGTGCACTGGGCACACCGCACGGGGACAGTCCGGAGGACCTCGCTCTGAATGCACTGGGCACACCGCACAGGGCACTCCGGAGGACCTCGCTCTGAGTGCACTGGGCACTGCACGGGGACAGTCCGGAGGACCTCGCTCTGAGTGCACTGGGCACACCGCACGGGGCACTCCGGAGGACCTCGCTCTGAGTGCACTGGGCACACCGCACGGGGACACTCCGGAGGACCTGGTAAAACAGCAGAGGGTGGTCCAGGTCCTTGGGGCCCTGCATCATGGGGGAGACCTGGAAGAAGCTTTTCATTCCTGGCTTTAGCTCACCTATACTCTGCCTGTTGTGGCCCTCTGCTATGGTGAGCCAGCAGATGGAAGATCTCTCTCTCTCCCCCCTCTGTATAACCCCGCCTTTCCAATAATATAGTGCAGTTGATAACACACTTCATTACTGACAGCCCCAACAGAACAGACGTGAGGGCCCTCAGACAAGGAAGAAAACCGAGGTGAGCCCAGGGGACAGCTGGACCTCCCCCTTCCTGATTCCGGGCCCCTGGAGTCGCAGCATCCACCTCAGCACCCACAGAGGTCAGCATAGGAGAGCAGACCTGCCGGGGGGCCACAGGGCAGGATGACGGGACAGCTGCAAAGCCAGGATGTCACCTGTCACCTAACCCCAGGGAGTCCCTCCAGAGGCTTTGTACATGAGAAAACAATAGTTTCCATTTGCAGTTGAAGCCATTTTGAGATTGGTTTTCCTGGGACCTGCAATCAAAAGCACTCCCTGGCACTAAGCAGTCAGCACAGCCCAGGCTCAGGGCGCACTGCTGGAGCAGTGACAGTGCCTCCTGGGGAGAAGTCACACTGTGAACGGCTCATGCTTTCTGGAGAAAGGTGCCAAACGCTGCGAGTGTTTGCACTAAATCAGAGCTGCATGCCAGCTGGAGGCTGGTTAGAGAAGTGAAGAGAACACTTTCTCATGGAAAGATCAGACTTAAAAAAAAAAAAAAAATTGAAAGGCAGCATGACAGAGAGGGAGAGACAGTTTTTCTATCTGCCGATTCACTTCTCAAATGGCTGCAACGGCCTCTCTGAAGCCAGGACCAGGAGCCCCAACCTGGTCCCCTCCCCCATGATGCTCTCCCAAGAGCATTAGTGGGGGGCTGCACTGCAATGCCACTGCCGAGGAGGGACGCTGGTGGTGCAAGCAGCAGCCTCGCCCACCGCACCACATGGCCACTCAGAGATGGAGGGTGTGAACTGTTCGTGCTTTGGGGGTCTGTGGTTTGATCACACCCAAAAGCACTGCTTGGAAGAACCCTGCAAAATGTTTCAGGAGATCAACAGATCTTTCAAAGAGAATGGAAATTGGGAATTGCCTTGTCCTGGCTCTAAATCCGCAGTGCAGCCTCACCAGGAGGACAGGGCAACTTGCAGAAGCTGCTCCAGGTGACAGAGCAGAATCCTGAGGCTGAGCATCGAACAGTCATAGCACACAGGCAAACCGAGACAGGAAGCCCCGAAAGCCGGGCTCCTTCCCCCATACCCGGTGTCTGCGCGTGAGCCCACGGCCTGCTGCCTCTGCTCCTGGTGGGTGAGACTCCCTGGTACCCACGCCTTTTCAGGGGATCGCAGAGCTTGAGACAATGCAAGCAGCTCCCATGCTCTCCTCTGCAACCACAGCTGCTCCCCGATCTCTTACGGGATCGGATCTGCTCGATCCATTTTACCTAGTGCTCATCCCAGCTCTGCACGAACAGTAGTGGCCGTGCCTGCACAGAACGCACCCTGGGGTCTGCAGGGAACGACTTGCAGCCACCCCACCCCAGGGCACGATCCCATTCCGTGAGCAGAGGCCGGCTCTGGCCCGCACAGACGCCGTGGGTTACCAGGGAAGACACTTCAGTTAAGGGTTCTTAACCTCTGAACTCAGGAGGTTTACTGACATCTACACACGCCATCAGAGTTAGCTTGGGTCTGGCCCTGATCCTACTGAGTACTGGGACCCACAGGCTGCAAGGTGAGCCAGTACGTTAGGTACAAACCACCCAGCCAGGGAAACCAGGACACGACATCCCGAAGCTGCAACCACATCTTAGGGAAGCCAAGATCTCAACAACAACACAGCACATGCTGGTAAGAAAATCTGTCAATATCACACAGCCAGTGAACATCAAGGGAAAGAACGGCCAGCTGCCCAGCCTAGAGCCGTGTGACCCACCTCCCGGCTGCCCAGCCTAGAGCCTAGAATCCTGTAACTGCCCTCCAGCTGCCCAGCCTAGAGCCCTGTGACCCCTCTCCCCCTGGCTGCCCAGTCTAGAGCTGTATGTCCCTCTGGTTGTCCCCACTTGGCACTATGCATTCACTGTCCACTGCCTGAGAGCAGCCAGGACAGCCTCTTCTGACCCCCACGAGCCACCCAGCGGTCCAGTCTGGACTCCCAGGCTGATCTAGCAGAGTGCGACTGGCAGCAAAACCAATGAATTGCTACTCTCCTAAAAAAGTCACTGTTGCCTGTGGAACTAGGTGCTGCAGCCACAGTGCAGAGTGATAAAACTAGCGTGTCACAGTCGAGGCCTGTGCTCATTCTGGCGGCCCTAAACATAATCTCCCCAGAAGAAACCAGCCAATAACAGGGGGCAGGGACCACACAACTTAAAAAGATTAAGTCACTTGGTTTAAAACAACAGACAGACACTGAAAGATCAGATCACTATAATCCAGGAAGGAAGTCCAGAGGGGCAAACATAGCAGTGGGCGTGTTGAGTGTGTATGTGGGAACCATGAAAAACAGGAGGATTTCCAAGGAAGGTGACAGCAGCAGTGACGGGGGACTCATCTAACAGGTTCAGTGCACTTGGGGCTCAGGCACAGAAGGTCCAGGAGCCGGCACAGCCGCGGGCTGTCCCCTGAAATGGCTTGGGGTACAGCACAAGGTAGAAGGAGGAGCTTGGATGGTGACAGATGGGGGGCACAGAGTGTGGGTCACAGCTCAGGGTCCAGGCAGGATGGAGTCTGCCCCTGGCCCTGACTGGTGATGGATGGGGGGCACAGAGTGTGGGTCACAGCTCAGGGTCCAGGCAGGATGGAGTCTGCCCCTGGCCCTGACTGGTGATGGATGGAGGGCACAGAGTGTGGGTCACAGCTCAGCTTCTCCAACAGTAGATGAGTCTGATCCTCATCCTCTACATGGTGTGCGTGTCCACGACCTCGGGCTCTCGTGTCTGTAATGGTCAAGGTTGTATTCCGTCCTTATCTGTGGAGCAGGCCTCCCCTCACTGTGCTGTGACGACTGAGACACCCAGGGCACCTGCCCCTCCGCTGTGAGCAGGTGCTGAGGGCTGCCTAACATCACATCTGCACCAGTCATGCTTATCTCCTTCTCTCAGCCTGGTCGGCACCCGGTCAGCATCTGCTCGCACCTACTTGCACCTGGTCAGCACCTGCTCGGCACCTGGTCAGTACCTGGTCAGCACCTGCTTGGCCAGGCAGCCAGCCAATCTCTCCCACAGCACCCAGGGCACAGCTTTCAGCTCTGAGACCAGCCCAGCCCAGAGCCGAGTATGAACACGAGCTCCACTTGACTGCTTAGATCAAACAGTGCTGTTTTGACTTCACAAATTTATGAAGATTATTTGGAAAGAAAAACAAAAACAGCCTAAAAACTCACCATTTGTTTCTCATTTGTGCCCTTCTTATTGGGCTCTTTTTTGGTTTCATCTTCATACACAAGAACAAAGTCGATCCTTCTCTGGCCATCGTTGAAAAACAGGGAGTCGGGTTTTCCATTGAATTCCTCCTACGTGGAAAAGAAAACATGGAATGTACCAGCATATTCTGGAAAAGGGTGGACACTGTGCCTGCCCCCGACTCCCAGGCTAGCACACGTGGTCTCTGCTGAGGAGCGGTGTGACCCTACACAGCACCTCAAGCAGAGCTGCTGCCCAGGGTGGGGGACACGCGGAGGGAGCAGCACAGTCACCCAGCATCACACCCACCTCTGCAGAAGCACCTGTCCGAACAGCTGCAGGTGAACAAGAAACCAAAGTCAGGCAGACCGTGGCCTCCTCCTGCCCAGTCTCTCAGCTTTCCCAGCTGCCCTGTGGACTGCATCGCCTAGTCAATCTCCCAACTGATAATCATAATTGATAAAGTCAGAAGGCTCGTCCACACACAAACCCACAATTCACGCCCCTCGGTGCGCATGAACAAATCCCAATCCTGACCCAGCATAACATGCTTCTTAACTTCATGTGGACAGAGCAGGACCGGGTGGCAGCTCCAGGGGGACCTCACTTCACGTCCTCACACAGCCTGTCCCATTAGGACAGAGCAGGACCGGGTGCCAGCTCCAGGGGGACCTCACTTCACGTCCTCACACAGCCTGTCCCACGTGGACAGACCAGGACCGGTACCAGCTCCAGGGGGACCTCACTTCACATCCTCACACAGCCTGTCCCATTAGGACAGAGCAGGACCGGGTGCCAGCTCCAGGGGGACCTCACTTCACGTCCTCACACAGCCCGTCTGGTTGGTGCATTTGGCTGCCATCTTGCAATCAGAGCTCTTCTGCATTGACAAGCGGTGTTTTCAGGGCGAGCTGCACCCCACAGTCACGAGGCAGAAGGGCTCGTACCTGTGCGTTCTGCACATGCCACCTGCTTAATTCTCCTTCATGCCTATCAGCAAAGAACTCAGCTTGTTTGCCACCACAGACCTCCTCCTTCTCCTCTTCACCCTTCTAAGATGTCTTGGGGCTGGGCAGGGAACAGTGCCCGACAAGGACGAAGCATGAGCCCCGGTGCATCTTACTACAGGGTACGTCCCACCAGTGGCCATTTGGCCCAGTGGCTAACACTGCACATCGAAGCTGGTGGGCCCTGACAGTTGCCTGTGCACTCTGGGATCCAGCAGGGATGACTCGGATCACTCAGTACCTGACATCCATGTGGGAGCCCTGGACAGGTTCCCAACTTGGCCCCAACTCTCCAAGGTCACTGTGGGCATTTGGAGAACCTGTGGACAGCTGGGAGCAGACTCATTCCTGCTCTCTCCCTGCCCCTATCATCTGCCTCTCAATAAATAAATTATAAAACAAACAAACTCTGAGGTCAGCATTTTAAAAGTGCAAAGTGTAAGAAGCACATTTTTAGAATTATTATTCTATACCACTTGTTTTGGTTCTTGATTTTGCATTTATAATGTGATTTACTTAATGTGACCAAACACACAGAAGTGTGCATGTGTGTGCGCTCCACTAAAGGGCAGGCTCTGCTGTGTTCAGCCCATCGCCAGGGTGTGTGACCCAGGGCTCCTGCTGAGCTCACCAGAACCACCCACCCGCTCAAGCTCTGCTTTAGGGTGACAGAGGACAGGCCAACCCAGCTCCAAAGGGCTTAGAAAGGGTCTTCCTTGGCTCCAGGGCAGACACGAGCCGGGACCTCACCCTTCACCCCTCGGGTGCATCACAGCTGCTCTGGGCTCCAGGATACAGCACTCTGCCCTGTCTTCCTGCTTGCCCACAGAAGTGCCACCCTGCCTCTTACCTCCTCACCAAGCACCCTGGCACACACGCTCACCCAGCCCTCCCCCAACCTCCCCCGTTAGCTCAGGTGCCCTCCTTACAGAAGCTCAGAGCACCCTCCATGTTTGACTGTCAAGTCGTTGTGTAACTATCTGACCTTCCCTCTCGCTAGAGTCACCGGCCCAGGGACCCACACAGAGCCATCCATGCCACTGAGTCTCTGGCACTCCACGAGGAGCTGCTGGGACTCACCTAACAGCAGCCATGGCCTCACAGTGCTCCCCACAGGTGAATGGACAGCAGGGGCAGAGCCAAGCAGCAGCCCATTCCTGGCCCAAGGTCAGCAGCTGGACGCTTCGCCTCACACACACTGAGTGTAAATGACTGAGTGAATGGAAGCATGGATGGAAATGTCCCTGCCAAACGGAGACGCTGAGAGCGGATTGGACACAATACTGCATCATTTTCACGGTTATTTCTATTCCACTGAACATTCTAGCAATGTTCTAGTAAGTGCTCAACCTACCTGTCCGCAGTCTAGCTTTGGCTGGCCATCCCTGGTACCTAAGGGGGCTGCCAAGGCTTGGAACGGGCATGCCTCTGTGGCACATGGCACAGACATCCTCACCTGCCATCTGAGAGGGAGCAAGAAGGGGTGGCCGGACTGTGCAGGAATGTCCAGGCTGTCTCGGTGCCTGCAGCCCTGTCGGCCATGCATTTAGATGATTACAGACGCCCATAGATGCGCCACCAGATTCCATGCAGTATTATTATTTTATAACTGTGCTCTGAAGGCAAGCAAAAGGCAGCTCCTTCACCATGCAGTCGCTATGCACACGCCCATGTGGGCATCTGCTGATGGCTGCCCCCACTCAGGACACTGCGGTTCTAAAAGGAACAAGGAGAGTGGGCAGTGGGTGCTGAGGGGGCCGTGATGGGCTCAGGCCTGGCTCTTTGCCTCCTCGGTGGAGTTTGCACTCAAGCGGCTGCAGCCTGCTGAGCGGTGCTGGCTGCTCACACTCTCAGCTCTAGAGCAGTGTTTGCTGGATGGAAGCCCATATCAGCCGGGCTGTGAGAGGAACCACATCACTGGGTCGTGCTGATCTCGCGGTGATGCTGGGGCTGGGACAGGTGGACTCTGAGCCGTGAGGCACTGCTGTATGGCTGTGTCAGTGGACCCTGGCACCCCTTCTCAGCTCAGAACACCCAGGCCCTCTGTGTCACTCATCTGCAATCGACTCTGCCATCCCCAGGTCACAGACAGCTGGCTGGACTGGAGACGCCAGACTTCATGGGGCAGGGACCTGCCAGGATCTGCATGAACTTTCTGGTGCTGCTGTTGTAAGCTCAGTTCCTGCTTAGCTTGACCAGCCAACACTTGGCCTTTGCACACCACCAGCCAGGAGCTGCCAGTCATGGCTATGACTTAAGTGGCTGGTACTTATGAATGAGGGGCAGAAATTCACTTCTTTTCATATTGATATTTGGCTCCTGTAGCAAACGCTTCCACCAGTTCCTTGACAGCGTTCATCAGCTCGGCCGCCCAGGCAAGCACACTCTCCAGGAATGCATCTCCCAACTCACATTTATAATGTAGATGATCACTCACTAGAGAGACAGAGGGAGACGGGCAGAGGAAGCTCCAACCACAAGAGCCATGGCAACTCCATCCAGGGCCCCATGCGGGAGGCAGCAGCTCAAGTACGGAGTCACAGACGTCCGTCACCTGCTGCTTCCCAAGGTGTGGGCTAGCAGGGAGTGGAACCGGAAGCCAAGCTGGGCACTCGGCCAGGCACTCAGATGCACAGTGCAGGTTCCTTAAACTGCGTATTAAACACAAGACCAAATGCCCACCCACCTTCTCTATTTAGATGCGACTTTCCCCACACACCTTACTAAAATCAAGAACCACAAGTGTCTCCCATTCCACCAGTCCCCACTGAAAAAACACAAAAGGTGTGGGCTCAGGCCGCAGCGGCAGAGGCCTTTCCGTGACTGCATGCTGGCTCCATCTTTCCTGGCTGCAGCACAAGGAGTGAAGCTGCCACCTGCAATGCCCACTTCCCATAAGGGAGCATAGGTTCAAGTCCCAGCTCCTGCTCTTCTGACCCAGCTCTCCTCTAATGCACGTGGAAACAGGATGGTGGCTCGAGAACGCTAGTTCCTGCCGTCCACACGAATGGAGCTGCTGACTTGAGAGGCAGACGGAAGCTGGCGGACTCTCCCTTCCTGTTCGTTTCCTTTTCTCTCTTGTATGCTCAAAGGGTGATGCTCCAGCTAGAGTGTCTGCTTACAGGAATTCCTCCTTGCTCAGAGCCCACCTGACCCAGCCCCAGCATCACCGCGAGATCAGCACAACTCAGCGATGTGGTTCCTCTCACAGCCCGGCTGATATGGGCTTCCATCCAGCAAACACTGCTCAAGAGCTGAGAGTGTGAGCAGCCAGCACCGCTCAGCAGGCTGCAGCCACTTGAGTGCAGACTCCACCGAGGAGGCAAAGAGCCAGGCCTGAGCCCATCACGGCCCCCTCAGCACCCAGTGCCCACCCTCCTCATGGTACCAGGCAGCTGGCACATCCCCCACTCATTCGCTCCCACATGTTTGAGTTAATCACGTGTATGATCTCCACTTATGATTGCTTTTCTCTGGGAAAATCTGCCTTCCAAAATCAGAAGCTCAGAGAGCAATTTCTCAAGAACATCTCTGCCCACTGGGATACCCACTTTAGCTCCACCCAAGGCCAAGGACATCAACTGCTGAATTAGCCACATGAGCTCAACGCTCCTCCACAGTGACACGAAACACACGCTCCATCTCCACTTGTTCTCAGAAGCACAAAAGCTCTCAAGCTGAGATTCCTGGCAGACTGCTCCCCCGGGCAAACACCCCAACTAGCCTCTCTCACTCCTGGGTGTGTCTGCCATCTCCCCGTGAGAGTCCTGGCACTGCATCTGGGTCTTTTCTAGCTTCAACTCTGCCTCCACACTCCTCTACTTGCAGAAAGCAAGCCAAGTCCATGAGATGTACCACTCCCATGGGAGGAGGGTGCTGCGTATTCCCAGACCCCTGGGCCCTGCAGGGAAATCCCAGTGGACCAATGCAGGCCCTGGGAATCTCACAAGATTCCTGGGACGAGCAGGAGGACCCGGGTCTGACTCTAAAATGAACCAAAACATCTTCCAAGGAACTGAGTACAGGTTTGGCTCTCAGAAAACAAACAAAAAAAGATGCTCCCTCAACTCCTCAGGGAAGGACTACAGGGGATGATTAGAACATTCTGGAACCCACTGGGAAACAGAGCCAGCACAGACAGGGTGGCTTCCGGCCCTGCCACACCCCTGGGACAGGGTGGCCGACGTCTCCTCCTGCACCACTCCTGAACCCGGCCAGCCCCTTGGGGGAAAGCTCCTCTTAGCTCCCTGAGCGTAGACCAGGCCCACGGCTTCCAGGACTCAGTCGCCTCCTGTTCCCCCAGCTGCTGCCCAGCTCGCACCCCCAGCCGGTGCGTCCAGGGGAACAAATGCAGCCAGGGCAGGACACGAGCCGGGGCCCTGGGCAGCCTGGCTTCCATGCTGACAGCTGCCATCCTACTCTGGACCTTGCCATCCCCTGAATTGTCCACTTTCCAAAGTTATTGAGAACTCTTTCTGACCACGGCCACGGCTCCTTCTTTCACACACAAGCCTCCGAGACGTGTTGTCTGTGTCTGTCCCCACGCCACACACACACAGGCCTCCGAGATGTATTGTCTGTGTCTGTCCCCACGCCACACACACAGGCCTCCGAGACGTATTGTCTGTGTCTGTCCCCACGCCACACACACAGGCCTCCGAGACGTGATGTCTGTGTCTGTCCCCACGCCACACACACAAATGCCTCCGAGACGTGTTGTCTGTCTGTCCCCACTCCACGGCCTCCTCTCTTCCCACTCTGTCTTTTCCAAGGTGCCACTGCGTATGTGCCCTCTACCTCCCCACCGTCCAGTATGGCTGCACCCATGGGTGCCTGCCCAGGGCTCTGCAGTCTCAGGGATGCCAGGAGAAACGCTCACTGCTGGGGGAACTCCACATCAGGGTGATGTCAGGAGACACTCCCGGGCCAGCTCCTGTGCTCTCAGCAGGGGTGTGATCCTTCAGCTGCCCACCCCTGCTGCAGGGGCTCAGCCTCTCCTCTCTCTCCCATCCCCCAGCTGCCAGATTCTGAGAGCGGCCAGAACGCCCCGTGCGTTCTACCGTTCTACCCCTTGCTGCACAGGGCACCCTCCTCGGGACAAGCACGGCTGTGCCTGCCTTCCACACCGCAGCTCTGTGCGTGCACACGCATGGCCGTGTTCAGTGCTCCTCACCCGGGGCCTTGGGAAAGCAGCAGAGGATGGTTCAAGTCCTTAGTGGTCAGAAGATCCCTTTCTCTTCCTCTCTTACTCTGCCTTTCCAATACATACACAAAGAAGTGTAGCCAGAGCAAAGCAGGGACAGAAGTCAGGTGCAGGTGCGAGGCACACTGGAGGACCCACAGAACCACGCTGGGGGGCCCTCCCAGGCTTCCTTCACCAACAGTCTTACTGAACGCCAAGAAGGCTACTGATTCTTCCCCTCACACCCCAGGAGACTAGCAGGAGCAAGCAGGGCAGCCCTGCACGCCAGGAGCCGGCGGTTCATGCTTCTCCATAACATAGACACACCGTGCCAGCTCTAGTGATGGCGGCTTGTGTCACACTCAAAGTCAGACCAGAGAAGAGAAGACTGCTGTGTTGCTCAAGCAGGAGACAAGCCAGGCAGGAGCTGCAGGAACAATAACTGCCTGGGATGCAAGACCAGCCTCACACACCATCAGTCCCACAAGGACATTTGCACACGGCAGCTGGGGCACCGTGCTGTCTGGAAACACGATGTTAACACAATCACAGCGACAGCCAACGTGCCTCTTCGTTCCCCAAGTCCAGCTCAGCAGGAGCAGTCCCCTCCCTGCTCAGCAGCAGCAACAGAACTCCCACACCCCTGAAAGCACATCTGCGTCACCAGGCACCGGGCTCACACCGGCCTTGCCCATCGAGAACGCCTGGCATGAGCAGAATCTGCTTTACCACTAGCAGCACAACCACCACGGAGCAGCACGGAGAACCAGCTGGGCTCCCAGGATATGGAGCCTGGAGCACAGCCCAGCCGGCAGTCCATGCCAGACCCACCCTCAGAAACCCCGAAAGGTTGTACTCACAAAGGCCGGGGACCGGAAATCCTGCAGGCTGTCCGGGGATCCGAAGCTGGAGCTGACGCTCTGCTCAAAGGTCTCCAGCACTGGAAACAGACACACAGATCCATCAGCCGAGCAGGAAATGCAACAGCACACGCTTCACAGCTTGCCACTGCAGCACCAGCAGCAAAGCAGTCAGCCTGTGTTCAACACGCATGGGCGGCACAGGTGACCTCACGGGCTCACTGTATGACACATGTGGGCGGCACAGGTGACCTCACGGGCTCACTGTATGACACATGTGGGCGGCACAGGTGACCTCACGGGCTCACTGTATGACACACGTGGGCGGCACAGGTGACCTCACGGGCTCACTGTATAATACACGTGGGCGGCACAGGTGACCTCACGGGCTCACTGTATGACACACGTGGGGGCACAGGTGACCTCACGGGCTCACTGTATGACACATGTGGGCGGCACAGGTGACCTCACGGGCTCACTGTATAATACACGTGGGCGGCACAGGTGACCTCACGGGCTCACTGTATGACCCACATGCAGTTCCCGTCCCGGGGTTGCTGCACCCACATGCAGTTCCCCTCTCCTGGCACTGCCCAGGCCACCTGGGGAGTGACCCAGTGACTGAAAAACCTTTCACCCTTTCGTATCACTCTACCTTTTAAACAAATAAATCTTTTAAAAGGAAATATAATGAAATCCAAGAAAATTTACCAGTGTTCATTTAAAAAATGTAAACAAGATGAAATCAATTCTAATCATTTAAAACAAAGTTGAAATCATCAACTGAATGCATGATCAATATTTTAATAGACAGTAGCGAATTCTTTCACTTTCTTTTTAGGTACCAAGTGTTAGAAAAAGTGGTGTGAATCTTACAATAATGAAACATCTCAGCTGGAACCGGCTCAGGCTCAGTGTCCAGCAGCCCAAGTGTCCAGTGGCCAGCAACCAAGCACAGAGTGCCTCCGTGAGCCCCTTCCCAACAGCAGTGACAAACAGGAGTGCAGTGGGAGGGGCCGCCCAGCAGTGACAGGTGGACAGCAGTGGGAGTGGCCACCCAGCAGTGACAGGTGGACAGCAGTGGGAGTGGCCGCCCAGCAGTGACAGGTGCTGGACAGCAGTGGGAGGGGCCGCCCAGCAGTGACAGGTGCTGGACAGCAGTGGGAGGGGCCACCCAGCAGTGACAGGTGGACAGCAGTGGGAGGGGCCGCCCAGCAGTGACAGGTAGACAGCAGTGGGAGGGGCCGCCCAGCAGTAACAGGTGCTGGACAGCAGTGGGAGGGGCCACCCAGCAGTGACAGGTGGACAGCAGTGGGAGGGGCCGCCCAGCAGTGACAGGTGGACAGCAGTGGGAGTGGCCGCCCAGCAGTGACAGGTGGACAGCAGTGGGAGTGGCCGCCCAGCAGTGACAGGTGGACAGCAGTGGGGGGGGCCACCCAGCAGTGACAGGTAGACAGCAGTGGGAGGGGCCGCCCAGCAGTGACAGGTGGACAGCAGTGGGAGTGGCCGCCCAGCATGGGGAGAAGAAAGCATCTGTTTAGAGCACTGGCCAGATTCTGATTCACATAAATGTGGAAAAGTTAAAGCCCGTTAGGGAGAGAATTTGAATATTTTGCCGTTAATACTGAAATATGTAACAATCCAATTTCAGCTACATAGAGACAATGTTAGCAAAGAGCCATTCTCAAACAGTAAGCAAGTTTCAGCAGACATTATTTCATGTTTAGAAACAGTGGCATGGATCGCCAGTCCTAGCTTCCTCCACAAGCCCACTACATGACAAAGGAGACTGACACCACGGCCAAGGCGGCCCTCAGGGCCTCTGGCCTGGAAAAGGCCGCAGAAAGGCTTAGCTTGCAAATTCTGCAGCTAGGGTGCAAAGTGCTTGTTGTCAAGGACTCATCACTGTGAGGTCCACAGCTTTCCTAACTACGTTATCTTAACCAGAGGGAAGCTCTGAAAATAGGATGGCTAGCTCAGACCTGCCCCCAGGGGCCTACCAGTGGCCCCAGGCCAGTCAGCTCAGCTCCACAGCTGGGAACCAGCAACAGCAAGGGATTCAGACCCACAGAGGGGCAGGCCACGGTGGCACTCCCAAGCCTGGATTTGACAGGTGACATTGAACTAACACCTCTATGTGTCCATCCCTCAGGGACCTGAGAGCAGGCAGCGCAAATGAGTGTCCCCAAGGGCGCCTGCAGGTGAGCCCCAGGGGACACACCTGACAACCCCGGAGGCCCAAGGGACTGCCTAGAAGAGCAGTCTGTCCCCCTGGGTCCCAGCATCAGGAGAGGGTGACAGCTGTCCAGGTCACTTCCTTGCAGCAACCATTGTCAGCTCACAGCCAGAGCAGAGCCGTGTGTCCCAGGGTGGGTCAGGTGGGAGCAGGCCTGACCTTCTCCAGGCAGACACTGACCCTTAGGGTCTATTTACAGCTTCTGAGGCCAGCAGGTCGGGGAACCTGACACTGCGGACACCCTCCACACCAGCACCGAGGGATTAGATGGCCGGCCTCTCCACGGCCCAACCAATAGTGGACCAGGACGGGATGGGCTCTGCAAATAGAGGACACACCAAAAGCACCACCCAGCTAGACACGCATGCAGTCTGAAGGGTTACACAGAACAAGCATGGCCAGCCAGGCCTCCAGACACCCTCCACACAATGAAACGGCAGAGAAACCACAGAGAGAGTGTGAACTGGGGCGGCTACGGGGCCACCACACCCAGCAGGAGGATTCATGCGGTTAACTAACAGCTCTGACAGCCTGCTGTCCGCTTTCTCATCATCTAATGGAACCAAAAAACTTCATTTCTCAGCAAAAAGGCAGCGTTCAGACTCAAGGTGACATGGGAAGCATTTGATTACAGCAGGGAAAGAAAGGATGGGGGCAGCTGAGAGGGCAAAACGTGCTCATTTTGCTTCCATCTTCATATAAATCACTTTTTCTTACCATCTCTTAGTGTATTGCTAGTTATCACCATGCCCCATTCTGCGAAATAGAATACCTGCAACGAATCATGATTAGTTAACTTCAGCCTTTCAAACATAAATGCTTTGGGACTTCCATGTTCTCTGTTAAAAGACCAAGTGAAAAATAAGTTTTTGAAGGGGTCGGCATCATCAAGCCGCTGCCTGTGGTGCTGTCATGCCTCACTAGCTCCATCTTGAGTCCTGGCTGCTCTGTATCTATCCAGCTCCCTGCTAACACACCCGGGCACGCAGAGGCAGAGGTTCCAACTGCTGGGGCCCCTGAGTCCACGTGCGAGACCCAGAAGAAGCTCCTGGCTCCTGGCTCCAGCCTGGGCCAGCATCAGACACTTTGATCATTTGGGGAGTAAACCAACAGACAGAAGATGTTCTGTCTCTCCCTCCTTCTCTATAACTGTGCCTCTCAAAACATACATAATTAAATCCTTTTAAAAAGAAAGCAAAAGACCAGGAACTGAGAAGTGGGCTCAGAATATGATGACACAGCTGGCTCAGGGCAGGCTCACACACACGCACAAGGGGTGGGCTGACGCATGAGCACCAGTGCCCGTCTGCTCCGTAACATGCCGTGCCAGTAGGTCCTCAGGGCACCGAGAGCCAGGCAGTTCTCTCTTCGAGGTAGGGCACTCGAGGTGCCGTTAATTTAACTTCAGCATCATTTTCAAAGTGCCAGGTCAGATGGACTGTGGAGTGCTTTAAGACTCCTATCAACTGGGTGGGGCGGGGCCGTCTGGCACAGCGACTGGACACCCTTTGGGATGCCCGCCAGAGTTCCATGCTGGTGTGCACCCGGGGGGGCAGCATACGGCAGCTCAGGTAGTGGGGGTGCCAGCCATCACGTCCTGCTTTGTGCAACATGCCCTGGCCTAATCCCGGCTGTTAGGAGTGAACCAGTGGATGACAGAGTTCACTCTGTCTGTGTCCCTGACTTAAAAACATAAATAAAACATGTTTAAGTTCTTAGAAATGTGGAATTCAAAGGTTATTTTTAAAAAAATCAATTGGATTGTTCTTGGTAAAAGACACAAATTTAAAAGAAACCTACTAAATGTGTATTTTTTCTAAATTTAGTAATAGTCACAGTTAAAAGGAAATTGAATTTATAAAAACACACTGAAAAACATTATCAGTGCAGTTAACACAGTGTGGCTGAACTTGGAGTTCTGACATTTATCTAGTGTGCCAATACAAAGTGCCCCAAGGGAAGCAGATGGGGCCTTGGTGTAATCATCACAGCTCCCACCACTTCCTGTCTCCCAATGAGAGGCACAGACAGCGCCAGTCAGCCTGCCCAGCAAAGCTGACTAACACCTAGATAAGCTGGCCGATAAAGTGAGCCAGTATCTGCACGGGTATAAAAATTGCATTATTGCTCCTTAGGACGCTCAAGGAACAACAGTGTCCTGAGAACAAAGGTCAAGGGATTCAGGCACCCACCCGTTATCTAACGTACAGCACCAGCACGGCAGGTGGGTGTGCCCAGCTGACCTGTTCTCCGACTGGATGGCATGGAAATTATCTGAGACACAATGGATATGGGAGAAAGAGCAGATAAGATGACATGAGGAGAGATGCAAAGGGCAGTGGGTAGGGTCCGTGGGGCCCGGGTGGGTTTAAGCCTTGACCCCTTCCTTCCTGGCTGCATAATCGTGAGCATTGCTTTTATTAGGTTATCTCTCTCCGGTTACTTCATAGGACTGTGCAATGATGCACACGGAAACGCACAAGCACAGTGTATAAACAGCTCTATAAGCACACATTAAGGTCAGGTGCACAGATTCAGCGATGCGAAGAGACTTTGTGGAATTCATTGAGTTTAGTATTTTGTGCCTGATACTTGTAAGCCTCTCATCGTGTTTAATTCTATTTTGTTTTACAGATGATGGGAAGTATGCAAGCTTGTGAATTAGCAGAGGTCAATGGGAATTCCAATCCAATTTCAAAATTGAACTTTTTTTTTAACACATCTGTCCTCTGAGCTGCTATAGATTATCCAAGGGTTCCCTGATGCTACAAAACTGGTGAGGAATTAAGATAACACTGTAAGCATAAGCCAAGGTAGAACCACTACAGGCAATCAGCTGTTTCC